TATGACAGATTGCGTTTGTATAAAGGGCGTTCGTAGTTTGAGCTGTGTAAGTATGGCTGTATCTACCATGATGAGTCACAGGTGATATAAGCTGGTGATAGTTGGTGTGTGTGTGTGTGTGTGCGTATATGTGTGTGTTTCTCTGTGGGTATGTGTGTGGTGTGTGTGTGTGTGTGTATCTGTCTGTCTGTCTGTCAGTGTGTGTATGTGTGTCTGTCTGTCCGTGTGTATATGTGCGGTGTGTGTGTATGTGTGTCTGTCTGTCTGTCCGTGTGTGTATGTGCGGTGTATGTATATGTGTGTCTGTCTGTCTGTGTATGTGTGGGTGTCTGTCTGTCCGGATATGTATGTGCGGTGTGTGTGTGTGTGTGTCTGTCTGTCTGACTGTGTGTGTATGTGTGGGTGTCTGTCTGTCCGTGTGTGTATGTGCGGTGTGTGTGTGTATGTATGTCTGTCTGTCTGTGTATGTGTGGGTATCTGTCTGTCCGGGTATGTATGTGCGGTGTGTGTATGTGTGTCTGTCTGTCTCTGTCTTTCTATGTCTTTCAAACATAGGGTACTTATGAATCAAATATATTTTCAATCTTATGGAAAAGGAAAAAAATACATCATGAGATAGCATGTATTTGTACACAACAACGTGCACAGTTCAAACATGTCATTAGAGAAATGCAAGTAGTGATGACAAGACTTGGCGAAGCGGGAAAGGTTATGGTCGTCCTTGGGCGATTAGTCTTGGATTATAGTTCCCTCGTCTCTTAGTCGTATTGTAGTTCACCTCACTGCGTTGACCTTACTTAGCCAAGTTTTCAAAACAGGTGCACAGCCTCTGAAAACACTGGGATGGATGATGCAGCCACTGCCGTGCAGGCTGCAGGCTTCAACATGCAGACACCCTGGCGTAGCAAAATGATCTATTCATGAGGCTGTTCTATTTTTATTTATGCAGTACATGAATGGATTTCAAAGCAGTGTCTATACCGGCCTATTCAGTCTGCGCCCTACAAAATGCCTCCGATGCAAGACTGTCTAATTGTATAAAGTATTCAGGCTGCTACACCGAGACCCGATGGGAGATTCCTCTGTCGTTCGGTGGAGGGGTGTAGAGGTCACATACATTTAAACACTTTCCTATTATCCACTAAGCCTTGCTGTCACAGGAGACGGTATGGATAATTAGGATGTGACGCTGCGTCATGACGGCCTGGTCTTCGCAGTGTCTCTCTACTTCATAAAGACCGAGACATACATGACCTTCAGCTGGTAGCCCTGCCGTGTTTCGCTACCTTTGCATCGACCCATTTCAATACAAAATATACTTGCTTTGACAGTAAGAAAGCGAGAAGAACCAAAGTGCGCAATTATAGAATGTTGTTGATGGTCGTATAGCCACAGATATCAAACATGCAAACCCATCGTTGGCAACAGGGACGTGTGGTAGTTTCAGCTGAGCTGTTCATGGGAGAGTTCAACATTGTGAAAATGTCTTGGCTATTATTCTCTTGACCTAGTTGAATACTACCGGTGAATTAGTTGCTCCCACTACTTGGCATACCACCAGTTGTACAGGAGTGAGTGAGTGAGTTGGGTTTAACGCCGCTTTTAACAGTATTCCAGTTATATCACGGCGTGTCAGCTTGAAGTGGGAGAAAAGCCCGAAGTGATGCAGGTGTCAGACGTTTACCACTTCGGTGAAATCCTAGAGACATAATCGGGGCGAACTGGGATTCGAACCACCAATAATAGGTTGCTGGCGTGCCCAAGGGACGCAACTCTGCCCAGCGAATCGCGGCGCCTTAGACGACTTGGCCACCCGTGCCCCCAATTGTACAGCAACAGGTATCAGACGACAAGCTAAAGTTCACCGATTTTTGTTAACAAATATAAGTTTGTCTGAATCAACATTGAAAAAATAGTTTGAAGCCAGTTTGTTAACGTCATCAAACTGTTGACAAGAAATAAATTCGGTCTTTTCTCATTAATATTCAAGCCAACAATTTTGTAATTTGAAACTCGATTTGAAGTTGGAATGGTTGGCAAACGCATGTTGGTCGCTTTCAACCGGATACAGATCGGATAGTGCGTAGAAAAAACATGATGTTTAATTACGTCTGTTGCAATATGGCATATGTATTTCAGGGAATTGAAGAAGAATGTTGGTGTATAAAAACACAAGTAGCAACCGTATGTTGCCCCCATGAAGCCACATTTGGAAGATTGATAAACTGATTTTATATTAATTGTTCCCCTCCTCATGTTGCAACACGTGCTACACGATATCCAAGACACACAATGTGTATTAACATGGCCATAGTGTCTCCCCATCTGATGCAGTACGTGCATAATACAGCAGGCCACGCATTGGGATGTAGACTGTTTACTACAACATGTGTTGGCTACAACAGGCTTATAACAATATCTGTTTGACTGACCCGAGAGAGGATAATCATAGGCTACTGGTTATCCTGCCCGTGTTTATTACTTTGGAGTTGATATCTATATCCACTAACGAGAAGGCATTAAAATATACACCTGATGCGGTCAGCCGTAATAAATTCCCTCATTTATAACTGCTTAATCTTCCGTGAAAAGCTTACATATCGTCTTAGTCGCCTTCGATAACTTCCTAAGTGTTCATTGAAGTACCTGGCCGCTAAGCGTGTACACTGGGGATCAGCTACACAAGAGTGATGATGTAAGCATGTCTAAAGTACAGACATTGATTCTCCACCAACATCTGTAAGCCTATATAAATACACCATTGTTTGGTCTATCTCGTACCATTAATGTTTTTAGATTTTGATCAAATTCATTTCATACCTGTCTGAATAAATCCACATCCAATCGATAATAACACATTGGATGCATAGATTAGACCACATACCATCGACAATGTCCACGTCAAAAACACATTGCATGCTCATATAAGACCACATGCTTACCATCGGCCGCGGAATGCATTATTCATACACGCATTCCTGTCATTATGCATGTAGATTGGTCTAATGTTGGCGTACAATAGAGCGGGTGATTTGGAACGTAGTCTTCTGAATGACGTAAGCACATTAACAACTTTGTGTTAACACTACGGAATGTTTATAAACAGACGTCCCTACATGACTTCATAATTACCGCAGCAAACACACATCACGTTGTATAAACACTGTCAGCTATATCTCCACATGTGACAACAGTTGCAGCACGCCACTGATGCCGGAGTAGGATAAGTGTACAACGTATTGCATGATATATAGAAAAATATAGAGTCGATAGTTCATTTTCTATGAAGCCCTTCGGCAGATATATATGAGCAATGTTACCGTTCTTAATATTTCCCGTTGTTTAATAAAGACATCTGGGAAAATATTTTTCAAACAGCAGCTGATTTTTATTACGTTTTGTAAATGTGTTAAAGCATGTTTCATCATCCGACATTTCTCGTATATCAGCAAAGTGTCGTATAAAGAATTTGAAAGACAATAATACGACCGAAACAGAAACGCTTTTATTACCTTTATAAAGTTTGTCATTTTTCAGGGAGATGTAGAGTTACATGAAAGCACATGCTTAGATGCAACTAGATAATTACGAATGATACACGTCCGTCCAGAAGGGCGCAAACTGTTGCAACTAAACGCCATGAAGAATTCATAACGTAGCTGTGGCTTCTGTGCCTAAAACATAATTAATTTAGTAAAGCGAAGTTATATTAGTTGCCGGTCTCTGAACTCTGAACAGCAAATATGTACTGTACATATCTTATGATACCGTTAGGTTGTTTGCATAGGCTAGATCAACAGTAAGGATGTCATATGTTTTCGTTTAGCAAATAGTAATTGTTTGATACGTGCGACTCAAGTTTTCGTTTGATATGACTGTATTGTTGGTATATTTCCTTACCTGTATTTTCACTAACGTTCTGGGAATGATGGATTGCTAGGTGATGTAAACAATGACATTAATGCCTCACAATATTAATGCGAGTAGCCATACCTGTGAAATGTATAACACTACATCTCAGTAATCGGAACACGACAACACGGAGATTGTTAAGTTGAAAACCTATGGTATGGGGTAACAGCAGCTATTATAGATGATAGCTTTCACTTTTCTCAGAAACATTACTATTCACCACACGGAATCGACTTAGGATATAACATAAATGCTTAATAAAATGAAGCAGGTCAGGTCAAGCGACGAAGATTGCTGAAGGTTCCAAGTGTTGGTTAACGATATAGCATCATCCATAACTAACCAGTGCTCACTGAGCATCACAAGGCCTGCTGTAACCGGACACCTTCACAATGCGGATAAAGGGTCGTGTGCTTATACTTATATTTATTTGCCAAGGTTGCCAAGGTCAAGGACGTAGTTGGCGATTTTCAGGACTGCAGGTGCCTGATCAATATGTAAAAACAGTTCCTTGACACGATACCCAGTGAGACACACCCATCAAGAGCACTAACTTACATTGTTCATTGGGACTTTTGTAGTGTGGTAATATCATCGATTCTGTTCCGTAAAATGCGACACGTTATTAAAGCGAGCAATCAATGGACTCTTGGTTTGGCTCCATGTCTTGATTTCAAGTGTAGATGACGTAACATCAAGCGAGGATGCATGAACGTAACATCATTGGTTAATTTATCCAACTTGTCAAATAAAACTAATTATTTTCAGTTTATTAAACGTGGCATTGTAAGTAAGCAAGGTTTCATCACGGCGGGTCAGATTGATGTGGGAGAAAAACAAATGATGCAGGCCTTTCTAATGTTTTCCACTTATGGGTATGGTGCAGATAAACCAGGGATCATTATCAGGATTAGTTAGGGGCTCAAACCCAAAAGCAGCGGATACGTGCGCTACAAAGGGACGCTACTCTATCCAAGCGATCATCTGTGCCTGAAACGACCTGACCAACCACAGCCCGCCTAAATCTAGACCCTTCGAAGTGGATGTTGTTCCGTCTCTACAATAATACTGTTTTCTGTTGTTTTCAGACAGTGCCGTGGTCACGGAGGGCAACGTGAAGCTCATATTAGGACTGTTGTGGCAGGTGATTTTACGCTACCAAGTTGGACTGTCAGCTGTGCAACATAGGCAATGGATTCTAAAATGGATACAAGCAGTGATACCGCAGTACCGGGTTAGGAATTTCACCACAGACTGGAATGACGGGTTGGCATTACAGTGAGTAGATACACCTTGATGTACTAGGGTGGTACAGGGAGATGATGTACCATGTAATACACCTTGATGTACCCTGGAGGTACATGCGGGTTGATGTACCATGTAATACTACTTGATGTACTAAGGTTGTACAGGGAGATGATGTACCATGTAATACACCTTGATGTACTGAGGTGGTACAGTGAGATGATCTACCATGTAATACACCTTGATGTACCCTGGAGGTACATGTGGGTTGATGTACCATGTAATACATCTTAATGTACTAAGGTGGTACAGTGAGATGATGTACCATGTAATACACCTTGATGTACTAAGGTGGAACAGTGAGTTGATGTACCATGTAATACACCTTGATGTACCCTGGAGGTACATGTGGGTTGATGTACCATGTAATACACCTTGATGTAATAAGGTGGTGCAGTGAGTTGACGTACCATGTAATACACCTTGATGGACTAAGGAGGTACATGTGAGATGATGTACCATGTAATACACCTTGATGTACCCTGGAGGTACATGTCAGATGATGTACCATGTAATACACCTTGATGTACTAAGGTGGTACATGTGAGATGATGTACCATGTAATACACCTTGATGTACTAAGGTGGTACATGTGAGATGATGTACCATGTAATACACCTTGATGTACTAAGGTGGTACATGTGAGATGATGTACCATGTAATACACCTTGATGTACCCTGGAGGTACATGTGAGATGATGTACCATGCCATACACCTTGAGGCACAGAAAGGTCCAAACCTCCTGAACATGCAACCTTACGATGGATCCGTGCCACAGGGATCTGATCTCCATCACTATCGTAACCTGTAATATGTCAATGAATTCTTCAAACTTACTCAGATAGAAAAACACGATTGCTAAATTACAGTTATCAGGAGCAACTTTTACTTTTGTTTTCCTGGTGTTAGTTGGAAGCTGGGTAGACGGAGAATAGGTGTCGTGAACTGTAGTGTAACATTAAGACAAGGCGAAGAGCGTTATGTCGAACATCAGAGGATCGAGGATACACATATATATTCGTTATAAATAGGCATCGTTATAGCTGACCAGCACACACGTTACACACTGGTATCTACGACATAGTTCTCAACGAGACGGTCCTTCCATAGATGAATAACATTCGAGATAACGTTCGAGTTCTAGTTACCAACAAACACATTCACACGACATATTGGTTCATTAAACGGTTTGGAGTAACGGGCTTTGAATGTCAGCATCTTTCTTGCAGCGCACTGCTGGAATTCTGCAAGCCAGGGATCTGCCCGAACTGGCATCACCTGGACAGAGACAACAAGTGAGTAGCGGACTGCATGTTCTTTTCCCCGGGAACATCCGGGTTTGAATTGTCCTCAGGTAACCCACGCTTGTCGTAAGAGGCGACTAACAGGATCGAGTGGTCAACTGACTTGACTGAGGCATGTCATTGTAACCGAATTGCCTAGATCGATGCTCATTATGTCTATCACTCGATTGTCTGCTCCAGATTGGATTATCTATAGACCGTCGTCATACAGTTGGAATATTGCTCTGTGCTGCGTTAAACAACAAACAAACAAACATATTTTTAATAGTCAGTTGACGTGCAGGTATGTAGTGCATTATGCTACAGCTAATACCCATCCCTCTTAGATAACTGGAGAAACTGGTTTAACAAGAATGTGACCACCCAATGCAAGGGACAGATAGGTAACAGTTTTGAATGGCGTCGGGGGTACGGGTGGCTCATTCGTCAAAGGCGCCTCAGTTCGCTGGGCACGCCAGTAACATATGATCATGGGTTCGAATCCCGGTTCGCCTCGATTATGTTTCCTGGTGTGTTAGCACTATACCCGTGCCCGTGGGTCGTACCAAGATGATAAACGTCTGAGACCTGCATCACTTCGGACTATTCTCCAACAAGCTGACACGTCGTGATATAACTGGAATTCTGTTCAAAGCAATGGCGTCGTTCGAAATAGCTTTATCAGTGGAGGCCATGCATTTGAAAATACACTTTCTATACAACCTATGCTTGAAAAAACCATTGGTATTAGGGCAGCGAACACAGTGCATAATGACACGGTTCTTCCACTGGAAGTTAGTATTGTTTTCAAATTTTCTTCGACGTCATTCGCAAGTAAACACGAATGTTGCCATCGACCGGGTCGCCACGCTCCACTTAATGTCGATAACTATCAATGCGATGTGTGCAGTACCTTCAGCCCAGTGAGATTAGTTGACAGAGGCATCATGTTAGCGTGTACTTGATGTTGACTCTCTAATGCAGCGTACCGTCACACCGTCAGTGAGTCATTGAGAGCCACATGTTCATAACAGTAGGGAGGAAAGGCAAGCTGACAAAGAGATGGCCAACAAGTATACCTTTGTCACTCTGGTATTTATTCAACCAACAGTTGTTAGTAACTCTAGGAGCATTATTAAAGGTTAACTTGAATGTGGTACAATGAAGGTCATGATGAAACCAACGTCACGGACACAATACAAAGGCGAACCCGGTTTGGGCGGAAGGAAAACAGATGTTCCATACAACTTCTGTCTAGAATAGGGGTGAGAAAGGGGTTGGGTTTAGGAGTAAAACAGTAATATGACATGGATGGAGCATCCCGCTTCCTACTTGAAGCCACGATCACGACAAAAATGTTAGGGACGAAAGATCATTGCCTGGACGATTTTATATGTGTTTTTTTGTGAACAATAATTAATAGATGTAGAGAGCGAGTGTGATTGTACGTCGTTTCTAGCAGCATGCTAAAAGTATGGGCTTTAGCAGCTGTACCCGGAAGGAAATAGAACTCGCGTCTTTAGTGTTATCAGCGATCACTTTTGCCACTAAGGTACCCTAACACTCCTACGGCAGACAAATGAGGCATTTTTCTAACGTTTTGACACCAAATTTCATCAAAATTCTCTATATTTATAACAAACACAGTTAAGATACTGCATCATAGGACATTCATTTATTTCGATGGGTCAGATATTCAGAGATGAAGGAAATGAAAACATAAGAAAGTTTAATATTTTAGAGTGAGTGAGTGAGTGAGTATGGTTTTACGCCGCTTTTAGCAATATTCCAGCAATATCACGGCGGGGGACACCAGAAATGGGCTTCACACATTGTACCCATGTCGGGAATCGGGCCCGGGTCTTCGGCGTGACGAACGAAAGCTTTAACCACTAGGCTACCCGACCGCCCTAATATTTTAGAAGGAATCAATAGAAATGTTATATTCAGTGAGAGAGTGAGTGAGTTGGGCTTCACACAACGTTGATCAGTATTTCAGTTATACCAGACCATGTCAGTTTCGTCTGGGAGGACACTCGAAGAGGGACAGGTTGGAGATGTTGGCTGGTGTGGTGCTGGCAAACCTAATGTCATCACCAGTGTCAATTAGGATTCGAACCCCGATGTTCGGATCCTGGCATGACAAAGGGGCAGAACTCTGCCTAGAGATTTGCTGCGTCTTATACGACAGGGTCAACCGTGCTCCCAAAACAGGTATATCGACCCCACGCCACAAACGAACATACTGTTATGTTGTTGGAACCGGCGCTCATGAACGCATCACATGTGTCGTCATAGATCCATGATTCGAGATGCAGCGCTTTTTCTATGCATGATTAGCGTGTAAAGTTTGGAAAACACGTGAATATCGTGATAAGATTTAACGACACTCTGGTAACACTTGACTGATTGTTAGTTTTGTCATTAAACATTGGAAACATCTCTTCTTTACGCACATACTCCTCAATGTGTTCCTACGGTTTGCGTTTCTTTTGGCAGTCAGTATATAATACAACAATTCTATCTCCCGTGGATGGCACAACATTAGCTAGGTGACCTGCTGACAATGATATCTACACACAGGGTGTAGTCTTAACTAAAAGGTCACTCGGTGGGTCAAGGACGGCCAGGGACGGTCAGATAGTGACACTGTGGCCAAAATACTGTAACGTGAAGGGGTACAGAAGTTCTGTATGAACACCCGACGTCCATACGTAGATGTCCTTGACAGGGGTGGGAGCTTACCGATGGCCATTAATGATACAACACTTTATCACATTCATACAGTCAGGCTCTTTAATACTATTATCGTCAATGACAAGGCAGCACTTACGCCTAAGGTTTTGTTTGCCTTTCTTTATGACAGTGTGGGTTGTTGTGTCGTGTCATAACATCAATCCTGCCATAGGGGTAGATGTAAACGTGCCCTAGTGGGCTTTGTGTGGGTTGTATATGTCGTGTCATAACGTCAATCCTGCCATAGGGGTAGATGTAAACGTGCCCTAGTTGGCTTTGTGTGGGTTGTATATGTCGTGTCATAACGTCAATCCTGCCATAAGGGTAGATGTAAACGTGCCCTAGTTGGCTTTGTGTGGGTTGTATATGTCGTGTCATAACGTCAATCCTGCCATAGGGGTAGATGCTAACGTGCCCTAGTTGGCTTTGTGTGGGTTGTATATGTCGTGTCATAACGTCAATCCTGCGATAAGGGTAGATGTAAACGTGCCCTAGTTGGCTTTGTGTGGGTTGTATATGTCGTGTCATAACGCCAATCCTGCGATAAGGGTAGATGTAGGGTAGTTGGCTTTGTGTGGGTTGTATATGTCGTGTCATAACGTCAATCCTGCCATAAGGGTAGATGCTAACGTGCCCTAGTTGGCTTTGTGTGGGTTGTATATGTCGTGTCATAACGCCAATCCTGCGATAAGGGTAGATGTAAACGTGTCCTAGTTGGCTTTGTGTGGGTTGTATATGTCGTGTCATAACGTCAATCCTGCCATAGGGGTAGATGTAAACGTGCCCTAGTTGGCTTTGTGTGGGTTGTATCAATAAGCAGTAACACGTCGCACAGTCACTAACACATTATGTTATTAACTGTTTCCCTTACTAATTACTACTATTCACAACTGGTTAAGTATGAAATACGTTAATGTCCACTTCAAAAGAGTATGGCGAGGTTATTTTGTAAAAAATCACTTCTATCAAACATTCACTTTTATCAAATCAAGTAGAAGCTTGAACAATGTAAATTGCCGGAGGTGTGGAGCCTTTGTTAAGTTCAGATAATGCCATTCCAGGAGCGCATCTCTCCGTCATGGCGGAATGTGGATATCCCAGCGAACAGAACCGCCTCTGTAGGAGGCAGATGTAGGCTGGAGCATATTGTATACATCAGAACCACTCACTTAGAACTAAGTTTTATACACTTCGTGAAGGCTTGTAGAGGTCGGATATGCCAGCGTTATCACTTCTCCCTATGTGCAGAAATGGACTTGTCTGTTATACACAGTCGACCTGTCGTCACCTGTCATTTGTTTTTCAGAGGAAATAAAATTGCAAAAGCTATGTCATATTCATGTCGAGTTTATTTTAAGATTGTGCATTAAACGCTGGGGTAGCTTTGTGCCAGGGCACGGGGTCGGTGGAAGATGCAGTAAACCCTGTTTAAATAGTCTCAGACGTACGGGGTACACTGGAGGGGTGTTCTAGCTTGGCTTATACCAAACAGAGTTGTCCACCTTGGTAACACGTTTGAATGAAACTTCAAGCAGGGTCTGCAACCTTACTAGGATGTAATTAATGAATGCAAAGGTGAACAAAAGCGTGCAACACAGATATACACCAACAGTCCATACATAGATGGACGGGCGAATAAATGAATGAAAGACTAGGCCGATTTATCAAAAGAAGTAATGGGTGAATTCATGAATGAATTCATGAATTAACTAAATAATCAATTAATGGGTTATATACAATGTGTAACATGATTTGGCACTGATGACGTAAATTGACCTGCAAAATGTGGCCAGCTGGTTATAAGATCGTGTTGTATACTTTACTTAATTAGTTTAGGATAACCACACGGAACTGTAACAAACAAACTGCTGGTGTCCTGTAGATTAAACAACTGTCGCAATGCCATGAAGCTGGCGAAGCAGCACTTTGACATCCCCTTGGTGCTGCGACCAGAGGACCTGTGTTCCCCCGAGCTGGACGACCGCTCCGCCATCACCTACCTCTCCTACTTCATCCGACTCAACGCCCCCGGCTATGTCGCCACCATCGACTGTGTACAGAAGAGGATCAGGAACAGGACCATCACCAATTTCACGGTAAGAAGGGAATTGGGTTTAATGCCGATGTGAAAAATATTTCAGTTGTATCACGGAGTGTCAGCTTGTGGGAGAAATGTCCCAAGTGGTGAAGGTCTTAGATATTTACAACTTTGGTGAAACCCACGTGTACAGGTATGGTGTTGACAAACCTAGAAACGTATTCACGTCGAATTTGGGGATTCGAACCACCGATCATACCTTTCTGGCATGCCTAAGGGACGCACAGCGTTATGCAGCGCCTATGCCTGGATATCACACTTGTCCGGATTTTTCGCTGACATCACATGGACTTTCCTCCGTCAGTATGTACCCGTGAAGATCCGGGGTAGAATAGGTCTTCAGCAACCCATGCTTGCCGTTAGAGGCGACTATGCTTGTCGTAAGAGGCGACTAACGGGATCGGGTGGTCAGTCTCGTTAGCTTGGTCGATTCATGTCATCGGTCCCAATTGCGTGGATCGATGCTCATGATATCAATCACTGGATTGTCTGGTCCAGACTCGATTATTTCCAGACCGACGTCAAATAGCTGAAATAATGCTGAGTGCGGCGTAAAACAACAATCAAACCAAACCAAACCAAACCCTCAGATTGTTGACATGTGCTGATTTAAAGCAAAATTATTTTACAGAGAACTGATTCTCTTTAAGACGACTCTCGTGATAATCTTATCACTACTTCTTACACAAACAAATCAAGAATCATTATAAAGGAAACTCTGATTCGCTGTGCACACTTGCATCCCTTAGGCAGGCTACAAACCTATGATTGTGGGTTCGAATCCCGGTTCGCCCCGATTATGTTCCTAGGTTTGTCAGAACCATACCCGTGCTCTGGGGTTTCACCGAAGTGGTAAACGTCTGAGACCTGCATCACTTCGGGCTTTCCTCACACATTAAGCTGACACGCCGTGATATGACTGGAATACTGTTAAACGCGGCTTTAAACCCAACTTACTCACTCACTCAAGGAAACTCTGGGATTCGAACCTAGGATCAAAGAATTCTGGTACGCCCAAGGGAACCTTATCTACACAGCCAAATGCGAAGCCTTAGACTCCAGGGCGACTATACTTGTCTATTAGGATGAGTGGGCAAGAGGTACACCCACAGTATTACATATATATGACAGTATGAACAAAGATACCAACGCTGAGACCTTGTCATTCTTTGAGGTTAGTTGTTCTTCTGTGCCTATCTATTCATGGTCTCTTAAAACACTGACATTCAGAGGCATGTTTCGACCGCCGGAATCTTCAATACAAGCATTATACAGCTGTACTCTCATGAGAATAACTTGATCATATACGCTCATGTTCTTATTCAAATCTTTCACATACATTAGAAATATTTAGCAATTAAATTTGTTTTCTTAATCACTTTTCTGTATTCTACCTCTATACAGTTTTAGTGATAAAAGAAACATTTAGTGTAAACTACCTGCCTCTTTGACTCTTACCTGTACACGTTGTAGGTTTGAAACTAAGACCTTGACATTCAGCTGTCAACTGACGGAAAGTGATTGTGTTGAACTGCCAGAAAGGTCGTGTAATGATTTATCTGTATATCAATAGAATACAAGTTGATTCATAGAGAAATATTCAGTAATGTCTTACCGAAAACTCCGCTTTCAGAGATGAAATAATACGACTGAATAAACCGATCTGGCATGCGTAACCCTTCAGTCTCTTTCCTTTAAAATATTCAAATGATCCGGAAGCAAATATTCAGTCTTGTATACAAGTGAAAAACAGCAATCCTTCAAAACGGCTCCCACAAAGCGTGATCTGCCTCTGGCTAAAGCTCTATAGCTAGGTGTCTCCGACTGGTAATATTTTCCCTACACTACTGTGTGTGACAGCTAGTCGGGTTTGAGTCATCTTTTATGAGAAATTGCATTTGAATATCAGGCCTGCCTTGACAAAGGTGTTCCCACCAGTGATCGTATGCAATACACATTCAGGGAAGGGGGTATACGAAGAATGCAAGCTTAATATTAGGCCACAGTGTGTTGGCCGATGTCAGCGGGAATGTTTTCGTACGATTATGATTCTGACGAGGTGGAATCTCTTCCTCAGACCGACTGGCACGATGGACGAGCCCTGTGTGAACTGGTCAAGGTGTCCGGAGGCCCAATCCAGGGGTGGCCGGAGTTGAGAGGGCCGTCTGTCCAGACGCTACAACAAGGTAAGCTTCTCCGTCCGTGTCTGTTAATAGAATTCTCCCAAAACATGACAGTACTAGTTCCATGAACAATACATGTGTCTTTTGACTACAGATTGTGGCGTTGCTTTCAGCCAGTGGTCCCGTTACGTTAATGTGATCCGTTAGTGAATGCCACGTGGTAAAAAGCCCTTTGTATTTTTAGATCTGCTTTATCAAGGGAACGTGTACAACAACTACTTTCCCGACTTGCATAATGACAGCCATGTACTGCATATAATTGATCGCATTTAAGTACGACATTTGGGGGCCATGAGGCGTTGTTGAGAGGGTGGTGACGTTGTGTATGTTGTTCTTCAGGCATAGAAGGAGGGAGAGATTTGGGAGTGGAGCCCCTCCTGACGGCAGAGGAGATCCGAGAGGAAAACCAGGAACATCTTGGCATCATGGCGTACACGGCTCAGTTCCTGCCCTTCACACAAGTCGTCACCAAGACGGACCAGAACCTCTCCAGGACGGATTACAATGTCAACAAGGTTGAAAGAGCCAACTACAACACCTCAACATCGGAAAGGAGAAACTACGATGTCTCAACAACAGAAAGGAGAAACTACGATGTCTCAACAACAGAAAGGAGAAACTACAGCTACGGGAAGGCGGATCACACAGATTATAACGTGTCAACAAAGATGGACATTAATCAAAATAGGGTAAGCACTGGAAGTTGTGAGTGTGTGGGTGAGTACTGTTTTACGCCACTTTTTGCAATATTCCAGCCAGGAATATCACGGCAGGGGACACCAGAAATGAGCTTCACATCGTGTTCCAATGTGGGGAATCGACATGACGAGAGAACGCTTTAACCACGAGGCTTCCCCACCGCCCTCGTAAGCATGGGAAGTAACACAGAAACATTGCAGCGTAGTTTCGGGTGTATTTAGGTCAACCTTGTATCGTTGTGCATATACAAAACTGCTCCGCGTGTTGTGAAACGGGGTTTGTTAGACTTGGTGGGTTTGATATGTTCCTTGTGTTCTGCGTGTTTTGTCTGATAATGGTTTGTTGTTTGTTTGTTTGTTGTTTAACTACTCTATCAGCAATATTCCAGCAATATGACGGCGATCTGCAAATAATAAAGTATGGACCCGACAATCCAGTGATTGATATCATGAGCATCAATCCACGCAATTGGCATACGATGACATGGCTTAACCAAGTTAGCGAGCCTGACCACCCGTTTGTCGCTTCTTATGACAAGCAAAGTCGCCTTTTACGGCAAGCATGGGTTAAAGGAAGACCTACTCTACCCCGGATCTTCACGGGTCGTCTGGTTAAATTTGAGGTGCTGTACTATGTATGCATCGTGAGCTTATTTTTATCATTATTTATACGATAAACGTGGTTTGTTTGATAGACTTCTCATGTATGTATGTTATTAAGTAACATCAAAATCAATCCATATATTGTATCTACATGTCTTTTTGTGTCCTGACACGAAGCATATTTATAGTTAGAACAGGAAGAAACGGTCTCCTCTTGCTGTCTTGTGTGTTCCACTATTTGCAGGGAGTGAGGCGGTATGCAGGGTGGGTTGAACGGACGTTGGGCGGCATGCAGGGTGGGTTGAACGGGAGTTAGGCGGTATGCAGGGTGGGTTGAACGGGAGTTAGGCGGCATACGGGGTTGGTTGAACGGGAGTAAGGTGGCATACGGGGTGGGTTGAACGGGAGTTAGGCGGTATGCAGGGTGGGTTGAACGGGAGTAAGGTGGCATTCAGGGTGGGTTGAATGGGAGTTAGGCGGTATGCAGGGTGGGTTGAACGGGAGTAAGGTGGCATTCAGGGTGGGTTGAACGGGGATTAGGCGGTATGCAGGGTGGGTTGAACGGGAGTAAGGCGGTATGCAGGGTGGGTTGAACGGGAGTAAGGTGGCATTCAGGGTGGGTTGAACGGGGGTTAGGCGGTATGCAGGGTAGGTCGAAGGGGAGTAATTATATGGCGGCATGCAGGGTGGGTTGAACGGGGGTTGGGCGGCATGCAGGGTGGGTTGAACGGGAGTTAGGCGGCATACGGGGTTGGTTGAACGGGGGTTAGGCGGTATGCAGGGTGGGTTGAACGGGAGTAAGGTGGCATGCAGGGTGGGTTGAATAGAGGTAAAGTGGCATGCAGGGTGGGTTCAACGGGAGTTAGGCGGTATGCAGGGTGGGTTGAACGGGAATTGGGCAGTATGCAGGGTGAATTGAAGGGGTGTAAAGCAGTATGTAGTGTGGACTGAAAAAAGGAGAAAGGCGGTATGCAGTCTGGATTGAAAGTGAAAGGATCTGATTATAATCATCTGGCGAGAAACAGGGAGTGGGGTCGTCATATCCGTGTAAGATTTCATCACATACCAGCCAGATTAATATATGCATAACTGTCACGCAGAAGTTCACACACATGGATAAAAAACCAAATATACTGCTTGCACGAAATCTTCTTGCAGACATCTTCCCGAGGCAAGAGAGTTAACTGACTTTAAAAGTTCAGTTAAATTCAGTTAACTCGCTTGCCTCTGGAAGATGTCTTGCAGAGGAATGTGATATTTCGCATATGCACATGGCACATATTCTTTTATTTATTTGTGATTCATATTGCCAGAGATTTTTACACCATCGGATTTCAACTTTACCTCATGTGTATCGATGATAGGTTTCTGTTTGACCATCTCCACTATCATAGGATTTCATCTTTACCTCATGTGTATCGTTGATAGGTTTCTGTTTGACCATGTCCACTAACATAGGATTTCATCTTTACCTCATGTGTATCGATAATAGGTTTCTGTTTGACCATCTCCACTATCATAGGATTTCAGCTTTACCTCATGTGTATCGATGATAGCTTAAGATTACCTTATATTTAATTTCAACGTTATCTGAGGTGTATGGGATGATAGCTTGAGTTTCAGCCCAACATGTGTTTTGTTTCAAAATAGCAGTCATATTACAAACGCACAATACAAATTAGGTGCCGCTATTTCGCCATGTCTTGAAAGGCACTCTATATACTGGCCGTCATTTAACCCAGATACATTTTAAACACAATAAGATGAAATATATTCAGCGTGTGTATTTAGACTCACTTGGGAGTTCACATAATCGCTATTCGTTCCTAAACTGATCATAGGAAACCCTAGCCTCACAGTATTTCGACGGAGGCGTTTGAACGACGGACGAATTCTGCCGTTAATGATAAAATGAATTGGGTCAGTTGTGTATGTTGCGGAGGTGTTTTGTTAGGTCACGTGATATGCATTGACACCGGCGGACATTCCCACATTCAGGCCGACAATATCCAAGTGGTATATACAGGGAGGTCTGGTTTGAATAGAAGAGCTGAGTTAACTGTCGCACAGTCAGCTAAACGTCTTTATTCAGCTGTGCTTACTTTGCTGGTATGCTTGTCTATAGTGAAGGTTGCGTCAAAGGACTTGTTTAGGCTACGACAGAAATGTGCTGAACAAGTTTAATAACGAGCCACTTACATGTGTTCTGTGATGTGCATATAACAACGTTTCATGTTTACATTGTGTGTATAGATGTTCTTACATGACATGTTACTTCTGGGAAGTTATTTATAACTCGTTGCAAAAGAAACAAGATATTGTTTTTGGAGAAAGTAGAAATATAAAACGATTATCCGTCTCGATTATCCGCCGAAACAGATTCCATTGGCGGTAAAAGTTTAAATAGTGGTGAAAAGTGTATAACTGTACAAGGCTAAGTATGTCCTGCTCTAAACTAACACTAAGTCTTTGAAAGCATTTCCTCAAGATAATTGTATTTTTTTCTTCAATAGAACTTATCCTCTGCTGCTGTTTTCATATCAAGGAAATTAGACTTGGTTTCATTTGATCTAAACTAGCCTAGGCTTTTAGTATAAAAACATATATAAACTAGTATATAGATTCAAGAGTAATGGCGCAGGACATGTCCTGCTACACCGATATCACCTGCCTTTCACACAATTTGCATTTAAAAAGTAATTGTTTGTTTAATCTTGAATAAATCTTTGATTTAGTATCATTATGGGTACCTGCTATTTTTCACATAATGAAACATGTGTTTAATGGCTGAACAGCAGAAAACCAAATGTAAACAGGTTTCAAGTTTCATTAGTTTCTCGAATATTTTTGGAAAACTAAAACTGCAGTGATCAGTAATACATGAATATATATTTCTCGCGTCAAAAATATACATCCCAAAAAAGCATTAGGTAGCTTTCTTCCTAACGAACAATATTGTGAAATTGTTGATTCAACGTAAGGTAAACCACCCACTCTTCTGCGTGTAGTTTTTTTCTGATAGTTTGTAATATTTCTATATATATTTTTCAGTTTGTTTACACATTTCTCTGAAATCCATACTCATTCGTACTTACCATTAACAACTATCACGTACGATTAATTTAATTCACACCAATTGTGATAAAAATTATATTTTGATTTGTAAATTTTGTTTAGCGTGTAAAATATAGAGTCAACCATCCTAATAACTGTTCCTAAATCGCCGTTTTACTTGGGAAGCCAGCTACTAGGGTTAGAGTAGGCCTTATGCAACCCATGTTTGTCGTAAGAGGCGACAAACGAGATCGAGTGGTCAGGCTCACTGACTTGGTTTGATGCATGTCATCGTTTCCCAATTGCGTCGATCGATGCTCATGATATCAGTCACTAGATGTTCTGGTCCAGACTCGATTATTTACAGACCGCCCTGACATAGCTGGAATATTGATGTGTTAAACATCAAACAAACAAATATACGATATCAACACACCTTGGTAATAAAACGAATCATGGCCTTCGACTCGTATCAATAAACACGTTCATAGGGATTTTAGTACCTTACCTTAACTTTATATGCTGCAATAGCACAACCAAAACTGTAGTAGTCCTTAGTTGAATTTAGTGGGGTGTCACCCCATATCTCTACAAAAGGATCCTTCCTCAAACATCAGTAAACACGCATGTCAACATGTGACGGGTAATGTATACTGACTTGCATGTTTTCATCAATTCAATAAGGTCAATCATTTTTCATTTAAAGACAAGATCCCGAAGGGAACTTGATCGTAGAAAGTTAAGAAAGAAGGTACGCAGCTCTCAACAATAAGACTTACACACGTACCTCACATGACGGGTTGTCGAATCGACCATCTCTAACTGTGTGTTGAAACAAATAATAAAACAAGTGGTCACAACGACCAACCAGATAACACCATTGATGAATGCCACACATCCACATTTTTGTGTCTGCGTTACGGCGATGTCCATCAGCTTCCATGACGTCAGGGACACCAGCAATGCCTTGCTACTTAAACTTCTAATCTTAAGGTGGGGACAGTTTCGAGCTACAGCAGGGATATGTATGTAGCAGGCCTAATGTGCAAGGATACCACCAATGAAGTTTTAAGTTAAAATTCATAAAGGAGTGTGACCAGTATATAGCAAATATGACCATCACTGTACGAGACCCACAGATCAAGAAGGGGGGTGTACGTCTCAGAATGCCTCTGATGGATGTACAGTCGGAAAAGATGCATATGGAAGAACGCCACAAAGAAAAGAACATGGAAATGCATGTGGAGAAACACATGGAACAGAATGTATCTGAGAACCACATTGACCGTGTCATGACAGAGAAACATTCTGAAATGCGGCAGTCTGATCGTCAACTGGAGGAGATGCACTTGGAGACCCAGGTGCTGGAGGAACACCACACGGAACATCACACGGAACACCACACGGAACACTTCCACACACAGGAGACCAGGCATCAGGAACATGTACACAAACGCAAAGTTTCCTTTCGGGACAATAAGGTAAACGTTGACGAGAGACAACTGTGCACGTCACTACTATTTACCTGTTACACCGAGTGGAATATGTTTCGGCAAATAATCGAGACTGATTATTTTCTGGCGTTGGCTCTTATTATTCAATTAGCGGGGATTTTTTTAATTATGTCATTTCAAGAAATATTAAATCTGAAAGCCATTTATCTTGATAGACAAAAGGTCGTTACCTAGCAACGAAAAGAACGTTAACTGTAACCGCCCTAGGGCATGCGTGTCATCCTTCGCATAACAAGGGGCGTGCGCCGGTTGCCATGCAACTCAAATGTTAATGTAATTTACACTTTGCGTTTACATATTGTAAACCTGTCAGGCAGGATACTTGTTATATAAATGGTTTTAAAAGATGATATGCAAGCTACACCACATGACCTCTTATCAGTGCATAAGCTTCATTGGTACATAATGTCAAAAGTGTGTGGTTACTTAATAGAAACGTACCGTCTTACAGTATGAACAGAAATTCTGTTCTAAACCATACCTTTAATTCTTTGCGGAGTATTTATGATTGTACGGTATTAAACACAAGTTTAAGTGATGAGAATCTATTTCGGCGCTGGTAGAGCATGGTTCGCACCTAGTATATTGACTCATGCGTGATATGTCAGTGAGAGTGTTCAGCTTGGGACATGGGTGTGAGACGCTGGTTGTTACGAATGTCTCCTGTGTAGTTTCCCCAGGAGGACGGTTTATCTGCGGGACATTCCGCCTGTCGGGGATACAGCACAGCTCACATGTCAGTGAGAGTGTTCAGCTTGGGATATGGGTGTGAGACGCTGGTTGTTACGAATGTCTCCTGTGTAGTTTCCCCAGGAGGACGGTTTATCTGCGGTACATCCATCCTGTCGGGGATACAGCACAGCTCACATGTCAGTGAGAGTGTTCAGCTTGGGATATGGGTGTGAGACGCTGGTTGTTACGAATGTCTCCTGTGTAGTTTCCCCAGGAGGACGGTTTATCTGCGGTACATCCATCCTGTCGGGGATACAGCACAGCTCACATGTCAGTGAGAGTGTTCAGCTTGGGATATGGGTGTGAGACGCTGGTTGTTACGAATGTCTCCTGTGTAGTTTCCCCAGGAGGACGGTTTATCTGCGGTACATTCCGCCTGTCGGGGATACAGCACAGCTCACATGTCAGTGAGAGTGTTCAGCTTGGGACATGGGTGTGAGACGCTGGTTGTTACGAATGTCTCCTGTGTAGTTTCCCCAGGAGGACGGTTTATCTGCGGTGCATTCCTCCTGTCGGGGATAGAGCACAGCTCACCTCACACAGATGTCTGCCCAGTGCTTGCTGAAGCATGTCCAGTAATAATGACATTGCTGGTTGTACAATCCTTAAACCAGACACCTGCCTTGTAAGTGAAATACCATGTTGCAGAACAAGACGAACAATTGATATATCATACTGTTCTATACATGTACGACAGTTATATATGCGCACACAATAACAATACGTTTTTGTATGTGGAAGTCTATACATGTATATGTACTGTGTCTGAATGCAGTAGTGATGGCCAGCTGTTATTAGCAGATGGGTATTAAATATTCCGATAACGGCTTAAATATGTGATGCTCTCAGAAACATTATGGTAGACATGAGGAGGACATTTCCAAATTTCAGAATCAGTGACAAAAATGATGTCAGAGGCAATTCCCTATTTTGAAATTTATCAAATGTTCCCGCGTTTTGTCAGGTGAACAATTGACTTGCCTTGCATGTGTTTGTGACGGGAGCCAGCTCTGGGACAGGACGCACTCACCTTTTCGCGAACACCTGGTATCAACATTTTTATTGTGCTTCATCAAACGGCTCATGATAAAGTCGAAATCGTACAATCGATCGATATTTGTCAGAGGTTTCTTATGAATACGGAAAGGGTTTTCTCGCGTTTATTTAATGTAATGCGAAAGAAAAACAAAAAATTGTGCGGTTTTATAATGTAACCAATGCAAACTTGCGTCACGTATTATAATGACATGTACATGATGTCTTACAAAAAGTTAAACAAGGACACAAACAAAACATAACAACAAAATTGGTACTTGAAACATTGTTTACAAAAGGTTTGCAGTGTTTCTTATGCATTGGGAAGACGAGGTACGAGGACGAAATAAGTCTCGCATTTTTTAGGTTAACAGTTGACTTGCCTTTCCGTGTGTTTGTGACGGGGGTTCACCTTTTCACGAACACCCGGTGTCATTACTACTTGATAGTAATTCATAAACACATGTTTGTGATATAGTCGGAATTGTGCAATATATTTCATATGACTAAGGAAGTGGTTTTGTCGCTTTTATTAATATCAATTTCTTTATTCCTATTGCGCCCATACTAAGATGTGGAAAGAGCGTTATGAAATAGTCCTCTGCTACATAAATAATTCATTAGACCCTTACACTAAGATGCAACCCAACAACCTCAACAACCTATGTTGTCGTCTGTATGTTGTAGCCACCATCCACAGACTTCACAGTGAACTGTCAGAGCAACACAATATATGCAGAGGAAATGTATGCAGGTTTTGTTTGAGATACCAGATGCAACTGAACATATGATACATCAGTGTCGTATATGGAATACTTAGAATAAATGTTTTTACATTATGTACGATATATCGGCATTAAACGGTGGTAAAAATAGTATGATACACACACTCAAATAATAGGTCTTCATACGATTTGCATAATTCCGCGTTTTGCAGCGTATGATGATCATACTTGCATGTCATATGACATATGATTGAATGGCATGTGGTGTGTTGCCTGCCTAGCACCTTGTCTACATCAGAGCATAGGAATATGCCCTGTCTTTGAGGTTGGTACGCAGTGCCTCTGCACAGTACACATTGCCTGTTTGTGTTGCAGGTTAACATGTATGAAGACGAGATGAGCTCCACCCACGCCCCCACCATCAGCTCGCAAGCGCCATCCTTCCATCTTGTCAAGTCACCCGGCACCACCACCAACAACGTCAATCCCAGAGTCGACCTGCAGATGGAGTCGTACAAGTTTGATACATACTCAGTAGGGGTGATCATTGACTCTAAGGTAATTATGTAGGGTGATCATTGACTCTAAGGTAACTATGTGGGGTGATCATTGACTCTAGGGTAATTATGTGGGGTGATCATCGACTCTGAGGTAATTATGTCGGGTGATCATAGACTCTAAGGTAATTATATGGGGTGATCAATTACTCTCAGGTACCATGTTGGGTGATCATTGACACTCAGGTACCATGATGGGTGATCATTGACTCTTAGGTACCATGTGGGGTGATCATTGACTCTAAGGTAATTATGAGGAGTGATCATAGAAACTAAGGTAAGTATGTCGGGTGATCATTGACTTTAAGGTTACTATGGGGGGTGATCATTGACTCTAAGGTACCTCTGTGGGGTGATCATTGACTATAAGGTACCTCTGTGGGGTGATCATTGACTCTAAGGTACCATGTGGGGGTGATCATTGACTCTAAGGTACCTCTGGGGGGTGATCATTGATTCTAAGGTACCATGTGGGGGTGATCATTGACTCCAAGGTAACTCTGTGGGGTGATCATTGACTCTAATGTACCTCTGTGGGGTGATCATTGACTCTAAGGTACCTCTGTGGGGTGATCATTGACTATAAGGTACCTCTGTGGGGTGATCATTGATTCTAAGGTACCATGTGGGGGTGATCATTGACTATAAGGTACCTCTGTGGGGTGACCATTGACTCTAGGGTACCTCTCTGGGGTGATCATTGACTCTAAGGTACCTCTGTGGGGTGATCATTGACTCTAAGGTACCTCTGTGGGGTGATCATTGACTATAAGGTACCTCTGTGGGGTGATCATTGACTCTAAGGTACCATGTGGGGGTGTTCATTGACTCTAAGGTACCTCTGTGGGGTGATCATTGACTCTAAGGTACCATGTGGGGGTGATCATTGACTCTAAGGTACCTCTGGGGGGTGATCATTGATTCTAAGGTACCATGTGGGGGTGATCATTGACTCCAAGGTAACTCTGTGGGGTGATCATTGACTCTAATGTACCTCTGTGGGGTGATCATTGACTCTAAGGTACCTCTGTGGGGTGATCATTGACTATAAGGTACCTCTGTGGGGTGATCATTGATTCTAAGGTACCATGTGGGGGTGATCATTGACTATAAGGTACCTCTGTGGGGTGACCATTGACTCTAAGGTACCTCTCTGGGGTGATCATTGACTCTAAGTTACCTCTGTGGGGTGATCATTGACTCTAAGGTACCTCTGTGGGGTGATCATTGACTATAAGGTACCTCTGTGGGGTGATCATTGACTCTAAGGTACCATGTGGAAGTGATCATTGACTCTAAGGTACCTCTGTGGGGTGATCATTGACTCTAATGTACCTCTCTGGGGTGATCATTGACTCTAAGGTACCTCTGTGGGGTGATCATTGACTCTAATGTACCTCTGTGGGATGATCATTGACTCTAAGGTACCTCTGTGGGGTGATCATTGACTCTAATGTACCTCTGTGGGGTGATCATTGACTCTAAGGTACCTCTGTTGGGTGATCATTGACTCTAAGGTATCTCTGTGGGGTGATCATTGACTGTAAGGTACCTCTCTGGGGTGATCATTGACTCTAAGGTACCTCTGGGGAGTGATCATTGGCTCTAATGTACCTCTGGGGGGTGATCATTGACTCTAAGGTACCTCTCTGGGGTGACCATTGACTCTAAGCTGCCTCTGTGGGGTGAACATTGACTGTAAGGTATCTTTGTGGGGGCTATTGGCTATGTATTGATCATTGGTGTCGAGTTGTAGTTATTTCTAAAGACGGGAAAGGTAAAGTAAGTCTTGTACATGTGACTATTAATTAGTTTCTATCAGTTGGTCGTTTAAGGACAGCATCAATTGCAGTATTGCTAAACTCTGTGTATTTTACATTATCGAATTTTTTAATCAAGATGACGACCATGTGTTGGTGTTGCTATCAAGAGAAGTCACCATGAGTCACATACACGTAATCCACAATTCATTTGCGCCTCGTTAAATTGGACGAAACAGTTCGTTCTTTCAAGTATTCACAGTCTAGTGACCATGTCTTATCTTTGCCTACATCTCATAAGAATAGGTCAAGGTCATGCTAATGGTTATACAGTAGTAAAATACTCCCTGGAAACCTCCAAAAGCCGCCATTTTAGCATATATATAAAATGACATTTTTCAGTCATATGACCAATTTGATAACAGTTCCGAAAAGTTTTCTTTTTCAACTTCTGGAATGCTTCTAGATGCAAAGGCATACATATATGACCATTCCTTCGTCAGAATTCGTTTTCTATCAAATTATTTTTCCGTATCTGATTGAACCGTATATCCTGTCACTCACCCACCCACCAATCGACCCACTCACTCACTCACTCACTCACTCACTGGAACTTCACATGTGGTTCTTCTATGTCCAGATGTCCCCTCCGTTTGACCCCGAGAAGATCCGCGTGGAGGCTGAGGCCCCGAGTGGACGGATCATCAAGATGACCGGTGACGGACACTACACTGCGCAGTTCATGCCGTCGGAGATTGGTCAGTAGTGTCTGGAATGTTTGACCATATGTAGGGAACATGACGGTTCATGGGTACGACCACTGGGAAGTAGTGATGTATCAAAGCATAATACAGGACACAACGACTTGGTAGCACCACAGAACCATCGCTTCATTTCATGAAATATCCTTGAAACTTTTGAAAATCCGTTTGTGAGCATAACTAATACTTTTTTTATAAGGAACACATTTTCAAACGCATACCAGCGTTTCTTGTAAAGAAAATGAAAGTATTTCATTTAATAAGTTCGAAAACATAATAGCTTTATAAAACTGGAACACAAAACTTAAAACATATTTAATAGTTCATTTAAAAGTTGAGTCATAAATACATGCGTGGATCCATGCTTATGATGTCAATCACTAGATTGTCTGGTCCAGACTCGATTATATACAGACCGCCGTCATATAGCTGAATACTGCTGAGTGCGGCGTTAAACAACAAACAAAACAAAGTCATAAGTGCATGTGCATGACGATCTTTATGTAAACCCTTCTAATCGACAGGTCGATGGCGGGTCGATCTTTACTACAACAACCGTCTCATCGACGGCTGCCCTATTGACGTGTGTGACCCCTCCCAGGTCCGAGTGTGTGAGCTCAAAGGAGGCGGCGTGGCCAAAATGCAGGAGTTCAAAGGTACTGTTGCTCACATTACACATAAATCTTTTTCACGAAAAAAAATGAAAATTGCGGTGTGTGTACATTATCCCTTCTACCAACTTCAAAGACTTCATGATCCATACTGTTCATTGGCACTGTCAGCTGATTCCATTTCAAATGGGCATGAATCTACTGCAAGAATGGTGTACATGGCCATCTGTTCTCCTTCAGTGGACTGCACCCGTGCTGGTGACGGTGAAGTTGGGGTGGACATCACCCACCAGGGCAGGAAGGTCCCCGTGACCATCACACAGTCTACTAAGGGCATGTACAGGGTCACCTACAGCCCCTACGAGGCCGGTGCCTACTCCATCAACGTCCATTTCAACAGGGCGGAGGTCAGAGGTAAGTGTGACATGTGGTAATATGTTAGTTATACCACGGCTAATTAGCTCTATGTGGTAGGAAATAACAAGTGACTACAACTTGCTAAATGTATACATGGTGTTTAGATGCTGATAGTGTAAAATGTTGTTACGACGACAGGAGTAACAGTAAGATGACGCTTTCAACGAAATATTGTGGCATCATTGACATAGTACGGTGTTACCTGTTGCAAGTCTCATCGTAGACGTTGTCGTGTGTTACAGACTCGGACTTCCACAGCTCGGACCCCGAGGAGCGGCAGAGGAAGGCTGTGTTCACCACGACGATTGAGCGGGAGAACGGGCTGTTCAAGATAAAGTCTTCCTGTACGCTAACCGACTAAAACTTCACCATTCATACCGTTGTACCATTGACATCAACTCCTATCTATTCCAATACAGTCAAACATCGTTGTGTCGAAGTTAAAGGGACCTTGGTAAATACTTCGAGTTTCCCGAAGTTCGACACAACCGAAAAATAATGAATACGCAGGGACCAAGCTTTTACTTCGAGACAACCGGAAGTTCGATACATTAAAGTTCGTCACAACGGTGTTTGACTGTTTATGTAACCCACATTCTAACGGCTTCGGCCAAAGACCCTTTCATGACTCAGAATGAGTGAGTATGGTTTTTCACCGCTTTTATATGATGCCTGACGCAATTCGGTCAGTACACAACGTGGTAACGTGCACAAATATACTCCTTGTCCCACTTCTAGTCCTGGACTATGTTAAGTTGTTTTGAAGTAACAATAGTATAAGGTGAGATTGCCTTGCGCTCCTGGTCTCACCAGATGCGGGTATGTATGGTTGTACCCTTTGGTACTGACTTATGCTTTGGTACTAGGTGACTGGGAGATCGACTACATGACCGGCGGGCCCTTCATCTGCCACATCACCGACTCCTCCGACATCCAGGTGTACGGCATGCAGGACGGCACCATCACCAGCGCTCCACAACTCATCGGTAAGGGACATACAGGTCATACAGGCTTAGTGGGGATGCTTAATAAATGTTAGCAGCTCAACACATGGAAATAAAAGCGACTAAACCCTTTCCATATTCATAAGATATCCCCCCAAATGCAGAATCGATCGATTGTACGATTCCGAATATATCATGAGCATGTGTTTATGAATGACTATCAAATAATAATGATATCAGATGTTCGCTAAATGTGAGCGTGTCCTGGCACCCAGCACAAACACATGCAAAGGCAAGTCAATTGTTCACCTAAAATTAACCACGGGAACATGTGGTGCAAGTCAAAAAAGGGAAATGCATCGGATATCATTCTTGTCACTGATGCTTCAAATTTGGAAATGTCCACATGTCTACCATAAGACTTTTTGAAAGCTTTAATGAGGCCGTGAATGCTTCTTCATCAAACATATTCTCAGCAAGAATCGTAAACCACGTTACAATGGACATATCTCATTACAACATGACATATACAGGGACACAACATACCCCACCTACATCCACAGCCGTCCATAGTGTAGAACATAAACTGGAGTATTTTGTATGGTTTTGCTATGCTTTGATATACCATGATAATCAGCTGTCTTCACGTGTCTACCAGCGGACTGCACGAAGGTCGGGGATGGTCGACTTGAGGCTGAGGTCACACACAATGGTCTGCGGTACCCTGGCAAGGTGAAGAAGGACAAGCCAGGAATATACAGGGTCACCTTCAAACCTAAGGGACCAGGTGTCTACAAGATCTGGCTGCATTTCGACGGCCAACCAGTCAAAGGTAAGAGACTGGAGAGATTGGCCTGGGGACACTTGCACAAAGCGATCTTAGTGCAATGACTATTGTAAGCCTATGTTAAAGTATGGGAGTTACGATCATCTTAGCGCTAAGATTGCTTTGTGCAAGTCGGCCCAGGCGTTATTCGAGCGTAACAGATGGTGTACATAAAGTTTGGGTTATCATTAAGAGAACTACGGATCATCTTTCCTGAATCAATTAATGTTGTAAAACCTCGCCTTGGCGAAGGACAGATACTTCGTTATGCCGAGTTGCGAGTTGTAATTCCTTGTACGATATAGTCCATTTTACTCAGAAAATGTAGAAAAAAATATGAATTTCCTGATTAAAATGAAGAAATATGCCCTGTTTAACTATAAGGGCCTACAAAACCTATGACGTCAGGGACCATGGATGTCATGTTGAATTATTAACAAGTGATCGTATGACTTGACGTTGCTATGGAAAACCTCGCGAAAAATGAAAACATTTAACGTGGACTGACGAATCAGCGTGCTGCAACAGTTATAATGCTGAGTGAGATATACTGACAATAATGTCACAACGTCCATCCCTCTGTCGTCTCCTCCACAGGCTCCCCCTTCATCCAGGAGATAGATGAGCTGCAGTCTCCAGTAGCCTCAGGGGAGGGGCTGGAGCGAGCCATCGTGGACAGACCCGCCACCTTCACTGTCGACCCCCGAGGCTTCCCCGGCAACGTGTCTGTCAACGTACATGGTAGGCAGGGGTTGTACCGTGCCTTGCATGGAATGGTTCGGTGATTTGTTGTGTGATATCGGAAATTTGTTTTAAAAAATCAGGGAGGATCAATGAAAGTCAGTGTGCTGTTATAATGTAACATGTTTTTAGAGAAGCAAAAATGGTTTGCTTTATTAAAATATTGTTGTAGAATAAATCATACCAGAATTAAGTGAGGTGAGGTAAAATGGGATTTAACGTCGTGTTCAAGATTATTGCACTTAACTAGCGATGTGCATGTACGCGCGCGTGCGTGTGACTGCATTTACTACTCCGGGCGCATTTTATAGTGCGTGCCCACTGAGATACCATGCCGCAATTTAACATGTATACTGACTCCGAGCCACCCAGTCCTTGCTTTAGACCCCATCGAACCCCCGACCTTCTGCTCCTCGGGCAGACGTGCTACCACTAGACCACGGAGGCTGTCCCAGAATTAAGTGACTCATCTTTATGCAATATAAGAGTAAACGCCACCGGGCCATACACATGTGTAGGATATCCAGTTCTTAGGTCAATTATACTTCAGGACTCTGAAACGTCCACCCGTGAAGATCTGGGTCAGAAAAGGTCTTCAGCACACATGCTTGTGGTAAAAGGTGACTATGCGTGTCGTAAGTGACGACTAGCGGGATCAGGTGGTCAAACTCGCTGACTTGAATGATGCATGACTTGGTAGATGCATATCCAAACTGCGTGGATCGATGCTGATGATGTCAATCACACTGGATTGTCTGTTGCAGGCTCGATTATTTACATTTACCGCCGTCATATAGCTGGAATATTGCTGATTGCGGCGTTATACAACAAGCCAACTAAAACGTCCTGTTGTGTGGCGTATAGACGTTCCCTGCTTATGTGACCTGCTGCAGAGCTAACGTCTCTGGCTGACTTTTGACATGACGCTTCAGGTCCCACCTACCCCATCAAGAGTATGATTGACCCCCAGCCAGACAACACACTGAGGGTGCATTACACGCCGGCAGAGAAGGGTAAACACCTCATCAATGTCAGGGTCGACGGCAAGGACATTGAAGGTCAGTCTGTGCGCACGTTTCCCTCTAATTCTCTATTTCCGTTCGACTTGATGTCTTTATCAGTCAAACGATGCAAACAAATATATCACATAACAATTTGTACAATCTTTCTATGATGTTTGAAAACTGTAAAATGTGAACGCAAAAATAGCATAAAATACAAAATGCATGTGTGTTGCTACGTGGATATGTTCTATGGCAATACAGGTTCTGTGGAACCTAGACATTCTTAGTTAACCCATCCGACATCAATGTATCGTTTTACAGAAAGCCCATTCAAACCTATGGTGGTTGATCCCTTCAGTGTGCGAGTGTCTGGGGGGTGGCGCCCTTTCGTGGACGACAAAGGCGTCATCCCATTGGTAGTTGACAAGGAGAAGCAGCTTCCGTTTGATGCCTCCGAGGCTGGGCCAGGTAACCTGTTTCCAATGATATTGTACAACATGGAGGCGAAACAGACACCAACATCATTATAATCATTATCGCCATTTTTAAAAACGAATACTTCAACACAATTGTAGCATGTAGTTATTTAATAACAAGATTTCGGAGAAATATCAAATAATATTATAATATTTTGAATATAATAAAAGTACCCATTTACGTAAGTATTTGGATTTTGAGTTCTTCTATACCGGTACAGCAACATGCATCGCAATGGTATGGAATACTCATATAAACACTAAAATACTTATAACCCCTTCTATCGGTATCGTTCCAAACTAAATCGTTTCGGATTACGTAGAAATGTCCCTTCAATTAGAAATCTACGACACTAACTCTATTTTTTTTAACTGACGTCTCTAGATATATATGATCAGTCTCTATCCCAGTGTTTTACCCACAGGGGAACTGACCGCGGAGGTTCGGGGTCCGTCTGGAAAGATCCCTGTAGCCGTGGACCAGAGGAACGATGGCAGAAACACCGTCATCTTCACCCCCAGGGAACAAGGTAGAGACACTTAAGAGACTTTTGTACCGTTCGTAGGCCCATCATGACCCACACCTCATTATAACCATCATGTGCGCATACTTCAAGAAGCCACGACGCTCTGTGTCAATTTCCTTATCGTCTTTTAGCGATGTCTCTTGTTTAAATTTCTATAAAGTTGACACGAATAAAGTTCCATGTTCATGTTCCACGAAGATGTGACTGCCAATTAAATGCTCCAGTATTTTAATATAAAACTACTAAAACATTTTGGTGCTCAACTTCTGCGGTTCCTTTTATACCAGGAAGCAGAGTAGAGACACTATGATACTTCTGTACAAACCCATCGGGCCGATTACATTTATACATCATACTCTCATCAGCAGGTTCTCATCTTCAAGAAGCCATGACCCTCTTTCTAAACTTCCTTATACGACACGGGGCGGTCAGGTAGCCTAGTGGTTAAAGCGTTCGCTCGTCACGCCGAAGACCCGGGTTCGATTCCCGACATGGGTACAATGTGTGAAGCCCATTTCTGGTGTCCCACGCCGTGATATTGCTGGAATATTGCTAAAAGCGGCGTAAAACCATACTCACTCACTCACTGACCTTATACGACACCCACAAAGATCCCTGTATTCATGCTCCGTTATAATTTCATTTTCAATCAATTGTTTCAGTATTTTAATTCCATCTACTGAACCTATGTTTTCTTGCAGGCAAGCATGACATTCACGTTCGGTGGGGCGGCTTTCCACTTCAGAGATCGCCTTACATGGGCTACGCAACTCACCGACCGAATGAGCCCGAGCCGGAGGTATACCCAAACGTCCGACTGGTGCAGGTGCCACTGAAACGACCTGATCCAGTATCCCCCAAGTCGTCATTCGCAGGCTCCATGAACGGCGACCCCTATCGAGTGAGCATCCATGGCTCAGAGCCTGCCATCTACCGCCCACCGTCACGACCCTCCTCAGTGATGGTGGCCACACCTATTGTGGAAGCTACCAAATACTACCCACCCACGGAGAGTGTCCCCATTTCACCCAAGGCTAGGGGGCCGCTCAAGGTGGTCCTCAGTGGTCGGGGACTCAAAGAAGCGAACGTGGATCAGCCAGCTACTTTCTACGTTGACGGTTCAAAGGCAGGAGATGGTGAGTATCGGTATTATGCCAAAATGTTAACATTCGTTTCCAGATATGTATTTTATGCTCGGGTAAGTTATAGCACCCAAACTTGTGAAAAGATATATGAATAAAACTTGGATTGGTGACCCACATAGACCGTACGTTAATAACTTTCTACTGGTTGCTCTGGTCCAGGTTCGTTAAATACCAGTGACCCTGTGGAGATGTAGGACAGAATTGCCCCCCAGTAACCCAAGAGGCGGATCAGTGACATGAGTGAAAGCGTACCTCGATGGCATGAGACGTTGCCAATATTATCAACCTCTAGACTAGATTTAATTATTTACAGGCCCCCGTGACATAGCTGTTGATGACAACAAAATAACAAGTACAGGTCGTATTGAGGTAATAGTATTTTGTTCACAGCGGTGTACACAATCTCATACAGCAGCATTCCGCTTTTTATAACACGAAGCTTTACTTTGCAGGTATTCCCGATGCAGACCTCACGAAGGCCAGTAATGGTAAGCGTGTCCCTGTCCACGTGGAGTCAGTCCGACCCAGGGTGTACAAGTGCGACTACACGCCCAGAGAGCCCGGGGCATACCTTCTCAAACTCAAGTGGAATGACCATCCGCTCAAGGGGTCACCATTCAGGGTGAATGTCCGCAGTCCCCCTCAGCCAAAGCGTGTAGCCCTGACCGGCGACTGGGCAAAGGGTGGAGTCCTGGGCAAGGATCTGGATCTCAGGATTGACCCTCGGGAAGCTGGCCCAGGTACGTCAGGCTACTGCACTCGTACTACAGACCCCTGCCCATCTGGCCAACTACTGCCGCTCTGGGCACAGTTGTGTCATGTCCTCTAGCCTACTAATTCAGCTATTGTATGAACGTGTGCACCAAAAGGACGCGTATCAATATAAAGATAAAGATTACAAGCCATTGGTGTTGTCTTGATAGCTGGAACAGCTTGGCAAGGGTAGAGGACATTAACCCTGGACGTCAACTAGAAAATGGATGGGGGGGGGGGGGGATGGCAGAGTCTGTGCCGTTTTGTGTTTTGCATTTTGTGCATGTGTGTGTGTGTGTCGTGTGATTTCATATCAAGGTTAGATATTTTTTCAGCTACAGCTATAAAACCAGATATGTTTTTAATTAAAACCCTGAAACTGAACTTGCAACAAGGTTATTTTTTGTGGCAGGCAGTTTCTTATATTTTTCAGTTTCAAACAAAATTATTTTGTTCAGGAATATTTGGGAACAAAAGGTTTTTCAATAAAAATCCCCCCCCCCCCCCCCCCCCCCCCCCAGTGATGCAAGTCTCTGTGAAAGTGTGCTGATGTTCTGATCCTGGCACTGTAAGTACACATTTTGAGTTTGTCGTATCTTAGTCATTTTCTTCACGGGTCTATATGTTACTCCCAACAGGCGAGCTGACTGTCAAGTGCACAGGGCCACGCAGGGAACCAGTCCCATGCAAACTGATCGACAACTTTGACGGTACCAGGAGGTTAAAGGTGACACCTAGCACAACAGGAAGGCACATTGTAGAGATCAAGTACGACAACGAACATATCATGGGTACGTACCCTGATCTGGGATACAAAATCGTTTCGCTTTCCAAAATAGTGTCCATTCATTTATTGTTGATGTTGGTATTATCAACATTCAGGTTCATATTCACGGGTATGTTTTGTGTGTACCCCTGCAGGCAGTCCATATGCTATCGACATCAGAGCTAGCATCACGCTGGGTGATGTGAAGGTGTGGGGTCCAGGGCTGGAAGGACCAGGTCTGATGAACGACTTCCGCTCCCACTTCTGGGTGGACACAACAGGAGCTGGTGCGGGCGAGTTGAGAGTCCGCATCATGGGGCCGAAAGGTGGGTAGGCAGTGCTTTGCACATCCTTGATTATCCAGTGCATATTATCTCTATATCGTAATAAAATTTATATTAAATAACCTGGGTAATCGAGGATGGTCTTGCTTTACACGTTCGTGCAATAGACAGTGTTTCAAAAAGCAGTCTTGTACTGAAGTACGGGAGATGACATAGGTTTGTTTAACTTCACTTGGAGTGATAAGCAATTTTAGCTCTTTGACTATTTTCACCCAATTGTACACTTTAACATAGACATGTTGTAGTGAGATTATTATACTGTAAACACGCTTCAGGATGTGAGTCTTGCGAATCTTGGTCAGATGGCATGATGATAATTTCAGGTTTGGATTGCTTTAAAAATGCTCATCTGAAGTAAATCATAACCCTTTTGTCTGAGACAAAAAAGTAAGTTTTGACAAACAATATTTTGTTTCCATGTGAGTTGTATCTGGTACAGTTGGTGTATTGCCATAGCATCAGTAACCTGCATAACAACACGTCCTACCAATACAAAGTGTCCTCTATGTGCAGGTGCTTTCCACGTGAAGATGAGGAAGGCCAGTCAGAAGGACAAGCTGTACCAAGCCTTCTACAACCCAGTGGAGCCTGGCATCTACACCATCTACGTCCAGTGGTCCGGACATCACATCACGGGGAGCCCCTACACAGTTCTCCTGGCTAGGAACAAGGATGAGTTATACAGGCTACAGCGTGACGGGAGTGTGACCAGCAACTTCTCCAAACCCCCCTCCCCTCGGGATGTGTTGTACTGAACACTGCCAAACCACACCGAGAGATCTGTCACAAGGAGAGCGTATACCTCTTGGTGTTGAACATCAGCTATGGTTATCATTGTGCCTACTTGGATACAGGAAGTTTGAAGCCAATGGCATGTGGATTAAACCTGTACATTTTTTCTATGATTGTGTTACGAGCAAGGGCCCATCTTTGGCTACTGACCCTACCTAGATTGTGCTGGGTGGTTGCTCATTCCTGGCCAATACTGCCCCAACCTTAAACTTTCAACAAACGAATCAGATAAACCTGTTGGGCCCATACCAGCAACCAGTAATATTGAAGTAGTCAAAATCAAACTCTTAACTTTTGGGCGGTGAGGTAGGCTAGCGGTTTAAGCTTTCGCTCAACACGCCAAATGCCTGGGTTGATTCCCCACAAGGGTACAATGTGTGAAGTCCATTTCTGGTGTCCCTCGCCATGACATTGCTGGAATATTGACAAAAACGGCGCAAAATCATACTCACTGATTTTTTATCTGGCCATAAAGACCAGTTGCGACCACATCTGTTTGCAAGTTCTTACATATCAGCTGCTGTCAGAGTTTTCTGGAACCTAACCATTGTGTTGATAATAGGTCACCATACACAGGAACATGCTTCCTCCCCTGGTATTCATAAAGAGCACATTTGCTGTACAAACCACTGATATTATGATCTCAAGGGTATGGCTGAGCAGGGCCTTTAAGGAGTGTATTGTTGTTAAGAGAGCTGTACGAGTGATACGCAGGCTTATTTCCCAAAGAGGACACGAAATCCTGCTTAAACAACCATCAAAATAATCATAGACTTCCTGTCCCCAGACTCAACTCAAAGGGCATATTCGCTTTCAAGGTGATTTATGTTTCTGCCAAATGTAACTGAAAGGTTATTTTGTAGGATTGAGACTATCAAAACTTTGTCTCTTTGAAATGGAATCTCAATTTTATCCACAGTATAGACAAAACATGCCTTCCAGATCAAGACTGCTGCCTGGTGCTATTTATGTATATATCACAAATTGGAACCAATTTGGTCAACTTTACATACCCCTGTGTCAATGTTGTGTTTTTTAAGATTTTTATGATTCTTTCAAATATTAGTTGTGATATGCAGTTCTTGCAGCTGGTATTTTAATATGCAGCTGTTATTTATGTACGACAGCTACTTAATCTGTGATCTATGTTTCGAGCTGCTTCTAATGTATTCGCATGGCTGTTCCAGGGACTTCACTCCATCATACATTATCCAGCTTTACCTACTGGATCTTTCAGAATAGAAATAAATGTTATAACCATGAATCGATTCAGACAAAGAAACATCTTAATTTCAAAAGCTTTTTAACTGAAATGCACAACACTCCCTCAGTTTTCATGAAGGAGTACAAGATGGGTAGTCTACAGGTATAAGTGTTGTCTCTACATTAACTTTACCTGGGTTTAAGTCCCCATATTGCGACAATGAGCGATGTCAATTCTTGGTGTCTTCCTCCCCAACAATAATAAATGGTGTTTTTTCTTCAATTTTCTGAATGTACCATTGACATATACATTTTTTAAATATTAGACTGTTAAGAGAATTAAAATATATTAACCTATTGATATTTGTATTTGAATTGTATGCAGGGTTAGGGCCCTGAAGCAGTTAAGCAACTAGACAGTGCTATACTAGGAGCTGATGTATTTACTGCTTTCTTCAACACTAGGTTGGAAGAAATACTCACAAAATACGGTTTACTGGTTCCTAATTTGATAATGGTTCATCTACAATTGATCCGAGACGTGTACTATTCTGAGTTGATGTATTGAACATAGATATGACATGTACTGTTCTTAGTTGATATATATATTGAACATAGATATGACATGTACTGTGGCAGTTCCAGTAGTCTGTCATTGTATGTCATGTTAAAGGTATGTGCATTTAGAGACTATCTAAGCAAGGGAGAGCACTCCTTATCCCAACGCCACGCTGCTGTACCATCCACTGAGGTTGTTAGGGTATCACTGTTGAGTGCTTGCCACGCAATGTCTCTGTTAATACATTCAGCTGAACCTTGTACGAATACTCAATTAAACGGTTTAAATAGGCCACGCTTCTGCTGTATTCCATAGTATTCAGAAACAAATAAATAAACTGCATGAAGTACACCCCATAAGCATAAAGAGAAATAAGATCTGTGAATTATAGCAGCTTAATATGATTAAAGTCATATGTTCAACTATGGTGTTAAATCGGTATTGTTTGTCCACATAGCCTCACCAAACTTGTACTAACCATTATGTCGTAAAATGTGAAAACATGAGAAACTGAAGAACTGGGAGATCACAGCTCCTTCTTTCCCAAACAGGTGAAACTACCAAGCTGGATCCTCCTTGTAATCATGTGTCAGGGAGCTGTGACTCAACATCAGCATCACTCCAGGCTGATGGGATAGCCTGGTGGTTAAAGCCTCCAATAGACACCACATAAACATGGGTTTGATTCCACACACAGTCCCAATGAGAGAATCTGTCCTCACTGTGATATTTAAAATATGGCTTAAATGCAGCATAGAATTATACACTCTCTTAAATTTTAAGTGAAATCTGAAGTTTCTAAAGAATTCACATCAAAAAGGATGAATGCCTTATAAATAATAATGATTTATTGTGGTGAAGCTGAAAATGTCATTGCCAGGCATATTTTTACGGACGTTAGCTATGTACTGAACACAAGGCAGCTATTCACTGGATATAGCAGTTGGGAGATACTTAAGCCAAGCGTCCAGAGGCCCATCCTGAGTGTTGAGGGTTATATAGTTGAGTGGTAAGGTGTGCAATATATTACATTTGGAACGTTAGTAGTAGTTTAGCTGTCACAGATATAGCATGTCGTACTTAGCTACAACAAATTATTTTGAAATAAAGACTTATTTACAATCTTGTTACTCTTTCATCATCTATCCAGGAACAACTTTGGAAATTCAAACTATATTTATCTGCCTACTGATCCTGACACCATCACTGGGAGACATCAGCCTACTGATCCCCACACCATCACTGGGAGAACATCTGCCTACTGATCAGGACACCATCACTTGGAGAACATCTGCCTACTGATCAGGACACCATCACTTGGAGAACATCTGCCTACTGATCCCCACACCATCACTGGGAGAACATCTGCCTACTGATCAGGACACCATCACTTGGAGAACATCTGCCTACTGATCCCCACACCATCACTGGGAGAACATCTGCCTACTGATCCTGACACCATCACTTGGAGAACATCTGCCTACTGATCAGGACACCATCACTGGGAGAACATCTACCTACTGATCCAGACACCATCACTGGTAGAACATCTGCCTACTGATCCAGACACCATCACTGGTAGAACATCTGCCGACTGATCCAGACACCATCACTGGTAGAACATCAGCCTACTGATCCAGACACCATCACTTGGAAAACATCTACCTACTGATCCAGACACCATCACTGGTAGAACATCTGCCTACTGATCCTGACACCATCACTTGGAGAACATCTGCCTACTGATCCCCACACCATCACTGGGAGAACATCTGCCTACTGATCAGGACACCATCACTTGGAAAACATCTGCCTACTGATCAGGACACCATCACTGGGAGAACATCTGCCTACTGATCAGGACACCATCACTGGGAGAACATCTGCCTACTGATCAGGACATCATCACTGGGAGAACATCTGCCTACTGATCAGGACACCATCACTGGGAGAACATCTACCTACTGATCCAGACACCATCACTGGTAGAACATCTGCCTACTGATCCAGACACCATCACTGGTAGAACATCAGCCTACTGATCCAGACACCATCACTTGGAAAACATCTACCTACTGATCCAGACACCATCACTGGTAGAACATCTGCCTACTGATCCAGACACCATCACTGGGAGAACATCTGCCTACTGATCCAGACACCATAACTGGTAGAACATCTGCCTACTGATCCAGACACCATCACTTGGAAAACATCTACCTACTGATCCAGACACCATCACTGGTAGAACATCTACCTACTGATCCAGACACCATCACTGGTAGAACATCTGCCTACTGATCCAGACACTATCACTGGGAGAACATCTGCCTACTGATCCAGACAACATCACTGGGAGAACATCTGCCTACTGATCCAGACACCATCACTGGGAGAACATCTGCCTATTGATCCTGGCACCACCACTGGGAGAACATCTGCCTACTGATCCTGACACCATCACTGGGAGAATATCAGCCTACTGATCCAGACACCATCACTGGGAGAACATCTGCCTACGGATCCCAAAACCGTCACTGGGAGAACATCATCCTACTGATCACGACACCATCACTTGGAAAACATCATTCCCTACTGATCCCAACACCATCACTTGGAGAACATCTGCCTACTGATCCATACACCATCACTTGGAGAACATCTGCCTACTGATCCAGACATCATCACTGGGAGAACATCTGCCTACTGATCCAGACACCATCACTGGTAGAACATCAGCCTACTGATCACGACACCATCACTGGGAGAACATCAGCCTACTGATCCCGACACCATCACTGGGAGAACATCATCCTACTGATCCCGACACCATAACTGTGAATACATCAGCCTACTGATCCTGACACCATCACTTGGAAAACATCTGCCTACTGATCCCAACACCATCACTTGGAGAACATCTGCCTACTGATCCCAACACCATCACTGGGAGAACATCATCCTACTGATCCCGACACCATAACTGTGAATACATCAGCCTACTGATCCTGACACCATCACTGGGAGAATATCAGCCTACTGATCCAGACACCATCACTGGGAGAACATCATCCTACTGATCCCGACACCATAACTGTGAATACATCAGCCTACTGATCCTGACACCATCACTGGGAGAACATCATCCTACTGATCCCGACACCATAACTGTGAATACATCAGCCTACTGATCCTGACACCATCACTGGGAGAATATCAGCCTACTGATCCAGACACCATCACTGGGAGAACATCTGCCTACTGATCCCAAAACCGTCAATGGGAGAACATCATCCTACTGATAACGACACCATCACTTGGAAAACATCATTCCCTACTGATCCCAACACCATCACTTGGAAAACATCTTTCCCTACTGATCCATACACCATCACTTGGAGAACATCTGCCTACTGATCCAGACATCATCACTGGGAGAACATCTGCCTACTGATCCAGACACCATCACTGGTAGAACATCAGCCTACTGATCACGACACCATCACTGGTAGAACATCAGCCTACTGATCACGACACCATCACTGGGAGAACATCAGCCTACTGATCCCGACACCATCACTGGGAGAACATCATCCTACTGATCCCGACACCATAACTGTGAATACATCAGCCTACTGATCCTGACACCATCACTTGGAAAACATCTGCCTACTGATCCCAACACCATCACTTGGAGAACATCTGCCTACTGATCCCAACACCATCACTGGGAGAACATCATCCTACTGATCCCGACACCATAACTGTGAATACATCAGCCTACTGATCCTGACACCATCACTTGGAAAACATCTGCCTACTGATCCCAACACCATCACTTGGAGAACATCTGCCTACTGATCCAGACATCATCCCTGGGAGAACATCTGCCTACTGATCACGACACCATCACTGGGAGAACAAAGACATGATCCATCATCAAAGAAAGAGAAGAAACCAAGATTTATGTTCATATTTTTTATCAAAAAAATAAATCCATATCATTTCATAAAACTGGCTGAAATATGTGAAGACCTCCATCACTCGCAGCAGATAACAATGTTCCCTGTTTCCATGGGTACCAGAGATGCTGCGACGTCACAATGACCTGTGATGGGTCTTCTCTGTCAGCGATGTGGCCTTGGTGAACAAACACTGGTGTGACAACATCAGCATCTCCCCACTTGCTTCGGTCATATATCTGTACACAGCCATCAAAACCTGGAAAAATACAACCAGTACTGAACTGTTGCAATCAGTTCTGGGGGTGGAGTGGTTGACTCACACAGAACACTCAGCATATTGGTACATGTGTGTAAAGCCAGGCTAAACAGAGCATGAATAAAATACATATAAATCTACTCAGTAAATACTGATCATTTACTCAAGGGAAATATGAAAAGTTTTGGTTTAAAAAGAATTTCTAGAAACATTTATACTGTAAGCACAGACAACAACATAATTTCCTGAGAGTCGGAGGAGTGAAATTAGCCCTACCTGTAACTGCCACCAAGTCTGCATTAGTCGGGCAACTCTGTAAACAGAGGATAGGGATGGTTTACACAGAGGATAGGGATGGTTTACACAGAGGATAGGGACGGTTTATACAGAGGATGGGGATGGTTTATACAGAGGATAGGGACGGTTTATACAGAGGATAGGGACGGTTTATACAGAGGATAGGGATGGTTTACACAGAGGATAGGGATGGTTTACACAGAAGATAGGGATGGTTTACACAAAGGATAGGGATAGTTTACACAGAAGATAGGGATGGTTTATGCAGAGGATAGGGACGGTTTATACAGAGGATAGGGATGGTTTACACAGAGGATAGGGATGGTTTACACAAAGGATAGGGATAGTTTACACAGAAGATAGGGATGGTTTATGCAGAGGATAGGGACGGTTTATACAGAGGATAGGGATGGTTTACACAGAGGATAGGGATGGTTTACACAAAGGATAGGGATGGTGTACACAGAAGATAGGGATGGTTTATGCAGAGGATAGGGACGGTTTATACAGAGGATAGGGATGGTTTACACAGAGGATAGGGATGGTTTACACAGAAGATAGGGATGGTTTACACAGAGGATAGGGATGGTTTACACAGAGGATAGGGATGGTTTACACAGAGGATAGGGATGGTTTACACAGAAGATAGGGATGGTTTACACAGAAGATAGGGATGGTTTACACAGAAGATAGGGATGGTGTATACAGAAGATAGGGATGGTTTACACAGAAGATAGGGATGGTTTACACAGAGGATAGGGATGGTTTACACAGAAGATAGGGATGGTTTACACAGAAGATAGGGATGGTTTACACAGAGGATAGGGATGGTTTACACAGAAGATAGGGATGGTTTACACAGTAGATAGGGATGGTTTACACAGAAGATAGGGATGGTGTATACAGAAGATAGGGATGGTTTACACAGAAGATAGGGATGGTTTACACAGAGGATAGGGATGGTTTACACAGAAGATAGGGATGGTTTACACAGAAGATAGGGATGGTTTACACAGAAGATAGGGATGGTTTACACAGAAGATAGGGATGGTTTACACAGAAGATAGGGATGGTGTATACAGAAGATAGGGATGGTGTATACAGAAGATAGGGGTGATTTATACAGAAGATAGGGATGGTTTACATAGAAGATAGGGGTGATTTATACAGAAGATAGGGATGGTTGTGCCGACTATAATCCATATATTTGGCACCTTTCACAATAAGCAAGACTGCCAATAGGCACTTGAAATTATTCATACTTGCAACTCTTCAGGAATTGTCTCAATGATTTCCCAAATAATTCACATATCCAGTGACCCTCTTGGTGCCACGGGACCATATATGGTCCCTCACTTTTCACACCTGCATAGTGCCAAGGGAACATATATGGTCCCGAGAAAATGCCCTTTTTAAACCGTGAATTTAGATATCAAACACTGAGTGCACAAAGTCAAAATTATAACCATCATCACCCAAATCATCTTAGCTTTAACATCGTGTAACTCATAATTTATACGATGCTACGGATTGCGAAATATGGCAATATTAGTAAAGTGTCTACCGCTCTTCTCGGCCTTTTTCTGCCATGTTTGAACACCAAGCGAATGACGGCAAATTTTGATTATGCACCCATGTCACATACACGTAAATATTTTCAGACATTGTTATTGAGCTGATCTGCATATATCTTCCGGTCAAAGAATTAGTTATAGTCTGACATTTAATTAGTTGTTTCTTTGTGAAGTTATAGAGTCCTGAACAATAACTAGTTACATACAGACAACATCTATCTATCCATGTCTTTAATGTCACAATCCACCTGGGGATGCATTGGGACGGGTTTTTAAAAAAATTAAAAAATCAGTGTCTCAGTTAATTTCATGTTTGTGAAATAATTATTTTGTTCAATGATTAATTATTAAGGTGTTGATTAGAAGCTGTGTCTATTTCTTTTTTAATCCATTTCAATTGGGATATAGATATCTAGACTGGATATTACAAATTGCACCCCGGTCTCACCTACTAAATCAGCTAAATATTGTCATTTGTTTACCTAACTCTCAATGAAATTTTGGATATTATTCCCAACATAGTTTATTTACATAACTGGTCTTCTGCGCTGAATGCAGTGCCAAGTCGCGCAAATTATCGCGAGGAAATAGTCAATCGGACAAGTTGATAGGATGGTCAAGATATCACATGTCGTCTTGGTCAAATTTCATTTTTGTCTCGGCGGTACTCAAATGTGCAAACCCATAAAGATAACCAGTGGAGGATATATGAACTTACCCCTAAGATGCTCGATCAGTGGTAGTTTCATTGAACCATCTGCATGAGGGATAACGTTAAATGTTTATGTCATGTGAGAGCAAGACACGAGTTGGACACAGGTTCAAGTTGGCAAGCGATCGGCAAGTGAAATTTGGAATTGAATGCTGAGACCAATATCAGTCGAAAAGTTAACCAGGACGGATATTCAAACGCCTGATTATTATTCAGATATCTTTATGTTTACTATTATTGATTGCATGTAATGTCAAATAAGTACGGTACATTCATACAATAGGCCTACATGTCGCGAATACCAAGTGGCGGCCATTTCAGTTCGAGAAATAGTACGTGCAGTCTGTGTAGTGTTACTCGCTGTCCCGTCTATTATGTTTTAACAAACTTCGGATAACTAGTTATTGAGGGACGTTAGGTTGGAAGTGTCTATTTAAAATAAGAAAATATCATTTATTTAAATCCGTATTCGTGACCAGCGTGCGCTGAAGATTCTATGAGGTAAACATGACAAAAACAATTTTTACATCGGTAAATATTGTAACGACTTGTAATTTTCACAGACGATTATTTACATTAAAATTTGAATAGCCTTACACACATTTCTTTCCATTGTGGTGCTACAAAATATCATTTGTGTAAACCAAATAAATGAAGCATTTTACATGGAAAACAGTTCATGTCAACTTCCCGTAATTTGCTTTGACATCGTGAAAACTGATATTTTTTCTCTCGATTATTTGCAAGTCAAATCATTCATGCGCATATCTCTGTTTCGGCACACATCTAAATAAATGTCATATGGTTAGAACCATGAAGGTATTTCCTGTCAAATGTTATTCATTTCAAATAACATATATTTATGACAAGACACAGTATCGGTGTTCATGTGGTCATGGGGATGTTTCAATATTCACAAAAAGTAAGAAAAACACGAAAATTAGGACTACTAACACTTTCAACGATGGCACCAGAATGTCAATAAACTCATTTTGCAACAACTTTTAGACTCACCGAAAGGAAATTTAAAGATCTATTATGTCGTATAATTTCGTAACGTTGTGTGAAGAAATAAGAACGTTGTTACACTTTTTAAACAATGTATATGTTTTTGTAACCGCGACGTCATCACAGTGCGGCACTGAGCGGTTTGCAGGCTGACTGACGTCCAGGCACCATGAGGGTTAAAGGTAGCCATAAAGGAGTTATTCCATTTTGAGATTTGATTTGGGGTTTGTGAACCTCATTGTATGTTTTGTGACCTAGTTTCATCAAGATATTGTACTGGTGCTTCGTGCAGAAAGAGAATTCCACTGTGATCTTCCAGACTTTTAGCATGACTTGATGACTATCATTAACTGTCAACATGGCACTTACACTGAGAGTTATCTCCCCTGGCTCAACTGCCTGGAGTTTCGTCTGTACACTTTTCACACAATGCTTCAAGTTCCTGCAGTCTCGAACACGCATCACACCACTACTACACATTTGCAGCACAACTGCCTTGGACTTGTCTTCACACAGTGTCCATGTGTCTCTGCGGGGACAGGCGTCCGACACCTGCTGTGCACTGGTCTTGTCCGACACCTGCCGTGCACTGGTCTTGTCCGACACCTGCTGTGCACTGGTCTTGTCCAACACCTGCTCCACTGCTATAGTGTGCGATCGAGGATCAAGAAGGAACAATTCTCCTGATGTACGACCCGAAGTCAACACACAGCGGTCTTGTTGAAGCATGTTGGAAATAATAATGTCTCTCTGACAATCTGACAAAAAGAGATACAAGATCAAACTTTAAATGGTACTTTTTCAACATAGTGCTATTCTGTATAGACGATAACATCCTGCCCTCAAGGACGACATTGGACTTGGAGTAAAATTCATCAGCAGAGATAGCAAATAGATTCCAACTCTCCACATTTCAAGATGATGCAAAGCAAAATCTATTGTGCCTTAGTTTTGTTATGGTTCATTCAGACAAGGAAATAAGGCACAAGCCTCCTGCCAATACTCCCTTAACAGAGGTGCACATGTGCAATCTAAGCAATTGGTGGAATTACCTTGGATACAGAATAGAATAAATGTCACAAATGTGTGAACCAGTACTATTAATGCGAAGAAATTCTGCAACGTTTCTACAAATGAAAAGTACAGTTATCAACTGAATACATTTCCTTAAGAAAACAGACATTTAGAATATTGCAGGTGCGCTTTTAACCAACCTTGTATGTGGGCCACTGTTTGCTGTGTGTTGATGTCGGCTACAGAGAGGCTGGACAGATCGGAGCCAAACACCAGACAGCTGTCATCCAAAACACACAACTGTGACGGGTGGCTGGACAAGGGAGATAAGTACTGTGTATTATTCATCATAGAACACAGAGCTGAGCAGGGTGGCTGGACATGGGGACAAAAACACTGTATAAATATAATTCTCCACAGAACACACAACTGTGACGGGTGGCTGGACAAGGGAGATAAGTACCGTGTATTATTCATCATAGAACACAGAGCTGAGCAGGGTGGCTGGACATGGGGACAAAAACACTGTATAAATATAATTCTCCACAGAACACACAACTGTGATGGGTGGCTGGACAAGGGAGATAAGTACTGTGTATTATTCATCATAGAACACAGAGCTGAGCAGGGTGGCTGGACATGGGGACAAAAACACTGTATAAATATAATTCTCCACAGAACACACAACTGTGACGGGTGGCTGGACAAGGGAGATAAGTACTGTGTATTATTCATCACAGAACACAGAGCTGAGCAGGGTGGCTGGACATGGGGACAAAAACACTGTATAAATATAATTCTCCACGGATCACACAACTGTGACGGGTGGCTGAACAAGGGAGATAAGTACTGTGCATCTTCACTATGAATCACAAAGGTGTTGTGCTCTTGGGTGGGTGGGTGGGTGGGTGGGTGGGTGGGTGGGTGTACCAAATGTCACACAGGCCCATCATTACATGAAAACCTTGACAAGAATTTATCAACAAATCTTTGCTCCCAAGATCCCTCAATTTTCTGATTGCTCAGCATGCAAGACAACCATCTTCGCACATGGATTTCTATGATCAATCAACCTCACCATGTAGGCTTCTTGCTGCACAAAACACCTATTTTCTCGATCAGATCTGAAAAAGAAAATCATCAATATCTATCTCAAGAGTCAACTATACCGGGTAAAAAGTTTTAGATTTCAAATTGTAGTGAGCAAAGTCTTGCCTTCATCAAGACAGCCTGCAGCATGAGAATGTGTCGGGCAGTGTCAGAATGTGTCAAGCAGTGTCAGAATGTGTCAGGCAGCGTGAGAATGTGTCAAGCAGTGTGAAAATGTGTCAAGCAGTGTGAAAATGTGTCAAGCAGTGTGAGAATGTGTCAGGCAGCCTGAGAATGTGTCAAGCAGTGTCAGAATGTGTCAGGCAGCGTGAGAATGTGTCAAGCAGTGTGAAAATGTGTCAAGCAGTGTGAGAATGTGTCAAGCAGTGTGAGAGTATGTCAGGCAGCGTGAGAATGTGTCAAGCAGTGTGAGAATGTGTCAAGCAGTGTCAGAATGTGTCAAGCAGTGTCAGAATGTGTCAAGCAGTGTCAGAATGTGTCAAACAGAGTGAGAATGTGTCAAGCAATGTCAGAATGTGTCAAGCAGTGTGAGAATGTGTCAAGCAGTGTGAGAATGTGTCAAGCAGTGTCAGAATGTGTCAGGCAGCATGAGAATGTGTCAAGCAGCGTGAGAATGTGTCAAGCAGTGTCAGAATGTGTCAAGCAGTGTGAGAATGTGTCAGGCACTATGAGAATGTGTCAAGCTGTGTGAGAATGTGTCAAGCAGTGTGAGAATGTGTCAAGCAGTGTGAGAATGTGTCAAGCAGTGTGAGAATGTGTCAAGCAGAGTGAGAATGTGTCAAGCAGTGTGAGAATGTGTCAAGCAGTGTCAGAATGTGTCAAGCAGTGTCAGAATGTGTCAAGCAGTGTCAGAATGTGTCAAGCAGTGTCAGAATGTGTCAAGCAGTGTCAGAATGTGTCAGGCAGCATGAGAATGTGTCAGGCAGCATGAGAATGTGTCAAGCAGCTTGAGAATGTGTCAAGCAGCTTGAGAATGTGTCAAGCAGTGTCAGAATGTGTCAAGCAGTGTGAGAATGTGTCAGGCAGCATGAGAATGTGTCAGGCAGCATGATAATGTGTCAAGCAGTGTGAGAATGTGTCAAACAGTGTGAGAATGTGTCAAGCAGTGTGAAAATGTGTCAAGCAGTGTGAGAATGTGTCAGGCAGCCTGAGAATGTGTCAAGCAGTGTCAGAATGTGTCAGGCAGCGTGAGAATGTGTCAAGCAGTGTGAAAATGTGTCAAGCAGTGTGAGAATGTGTCAAGCAGTGTGAGAGTGTGTCAGGCAGCGTGAGAATGTGTCAAGCAGTGTGAGAATGTGTCAAGCAGTTTCAGAATGTGTCAGGCAGCGTGAGAATGTGTCAAGCAGTGTGAGAATGTGTCAAGCAGTGTGAAAATGTGTCAAGCAGTGTGAAAATGTGTCAAGCAGTGTCAGAATGTGTCAAGCAGTGTCAGAATGTGTCAGGCAGTGTGAAAATGTGTCAAGCAGTGTGAGAATGTGTCAGGCAGCGTAAGAATGTGTCAAGCAGTGTGAGAATGTGTCAAGCAGTGTGAGAATGTGTCAAGCAGTGTGAGAATGTGTCAAGCAGTGTCAGAATGTGTCAGGCAGCATGAGAATGTGTCAAGCAGTGTCAGAATGTGTCAAGCAGTGTCAGAATGTGTCAAGCAGTGTCAGAATGTGTCAAGCAGTGTCAGAATGTGTCAAACAGAGTGAGAATGTGTCAAGCAATGTCAGAATGTGTCAAGCAGTGTGAGAATGTGTCAAGCAGTGTGAGAATGTGTCAAGCAGTGTCAGAATGTGTCAGGCAGCATGAGAATGTGTCAAGCAGCGTGAGAATGTGCCAAGCAGCGTGAGAATGTGTCAAGCAGTGTCAGAATGTGTCAAGCAGTGTGAGAATGTGTCAGGCAGCATGTGAATGTGTCAGACAGCATGAGAATGTGTCAAGCAGTGTCAGAATGTGTCAAGCAGTGTGAGAATGTGTCAGGCACTATGAGAATGTGTCAAGCAGTGTGAGAATGTATCAAGCAGTGTGAGAATGTGTCAAGCAGTGTGAGAATGTGTCAAGCAGTGTGAGAATGTGTCAAGCAGAGTGAGAATGTGTCAAGCAGTGTCAGAATGTGTCAAGCAGTGTCAGAATGTGTCAAGCAGTGTCAGAATGTGTCAAGCAGTGTGAGAATGTGTCAAGCAGTGTGAGAATGTGTCAGGCAGCATGAGAATGTGTCAGGCAGCATGAGAATGTGTCAAGCAGCTTGAGAATGTGTCAAGCAGCTTGAGAATGTGTCAAGCTGTGTTAGAATGTGTCAAGCAGTGTGAGAATGTGTCAGGCAGCATGAGAATGTGTCAGGCAGCATGATAATGTGTCAAGCAGTGTGAGAATGTGTCAAACAGTGTGAGAATGTGTCAAGCAGTGTGAGAATGTGTCAAGCAGAGTGAGAATGTGTCAAGCAGCTTGAGAATGTGTCAAGCAGCTTGAGAATGTGTCAAGCAGTGTGAGAATGTGTCAGGCAGCAACAGAATGTGTCAGGCAGCATGAGAATGTGTCAAGCAGTGTGAGAATGTGTCAAGCAGTGTGAGAATGTGTCAAGCAGTGTGAGAATGTGTCAAGCAGTGTCAGAATGTGTCAGGCAGCATGAGAATGTGTCAAGCAGAGTGAGAATGTGTCAAGCAGTGTCAGAATGTGTCAAGCAGTGTCAGAATGTGTCAAGCAGTGTGAGAATGTGTCAAGCAGTGTCAGAATGTGTCAAGCAGTGTCAGAATGTGTCAGGCTGCGTTAGAATGTGTCAAGCAGTGTGAGAATGTGTCAAGCAGTGTCAGAATGTGTCGGGTAGCGTGAGAATGTGTCAAGCAACATGAGAATGTGTCAAGCAGTGTCAGAATGTGTCAAGCAGCATCAGAATGTGTCAAGCAGTGTGAGAATGTGTCAAGCAGTGTCAGAATGTGTCAAGCAGTGTGAGAATGTGTCAAGCAGTGTGAGAATGTGTCAAGCAGTGTGAGAATGTGTCAAGCAGTTTCAGAATGTGTCAGGCAGCGTGAGAATGTGTCAAGCAGCATGAGAATGTGTCAAGCAGTGTCAGAATGTGTCAAGCAGTGTCAGAATGTGTCAGGCTGTGTGAGAATGTGTCAAGCAGTGTCAGAATGTGTCAAGCAGTGTCAGAATGTGTCAGGCAGTGTGAGAATGTGTCAAGCAGTGTGAGAATGTGTCAAGCAGTGTGAGAATGTGTCAAGCAGTGTGAAAATGTGTCCGGCAGCGTGAGAATGTGTCACTGTTTGAAGCTAAATAAGCTTGATAATCACCACCTTCAGGAAATGACACACACTGAACCACATGACACATTGTGCAGGGCCAACTCCACATTTAGTGACTCCGCAATGGATTCCCAAAGGGTCAGCTTGTATATCAGTAGATGAATAGTATCATATACACATGAAAAGATTCAATGAATCCCAAAAATCCCAAAATGGCACTTACAACTAAATATCTGAACAATGATTCATGGTACTCTATGTAGAGCCATTTCATTTCACAAATCTGCCATCACACTGGTACACAAAAGTAATCCAGTTTTCAATCCCTTTTCATCCCTACTACTAGACCAAAATACAAGACCAGAACATAAGCTTGTAATCTAACATTGTGATGATGCATCTGTGCTCCACATGTACCTCAATAAAACAGGAGAATAAAAAATATATATATATGTCGACTTTCCCGTCCTGGAGACAAAATCTGAACATTCTGATGAGCAGTTACCACTCTGTACCACAGGGTATGTGAGGGCGTGAGTGAGTGAGTGAGTAAATGTTGCTTTAAGCCGCATCAGCAATATTCCAGCTATTCGCGGCTAGAAAAACAAAAGCAATTTCCTTTAGTCAACATTATTTAAAAGTAATGATGACAATCACTAAACCTCAGTCCATTATCACAGTAAACAGTAAAAACTGATATTCAAAATTTAAAATCTATATCTTTTCATACAGTTTAATTCCTTTCAGATAGGCTAAAACTACGTGGTTAGAAACGGTATTGAAAAGTTCAGAAATAGTTTGAACTGTGTAAAAGCGTTGACGAATAAGTGCGAAATCCACACATTCCAACAAGTGTCCTTTATAGTCAAAGGACTATGGCAAGGTATACATTGAGGAGGATCTTCTCCCTTCAATAAAAAGGAATGAGTCAAATGACTGTGTCCAATACGACACCTTCGGATTACAACTTCATCCTGACGACTTAATCCAGTAAGGGCATGATTTCCAATCAAGGGTTGTATGGCATGAAGCTTATTCAATACTTGATATGTGTAGGCAATAACTAGTACCTTTTGTCAGCTTCTAAAGAGCCATAATATGGCAACATCACATGAATTAAAACACTACACATGTTTCCTTGCCTAATGGTTAGTCAGTTATGTTCACAGTCTCTTCAATATATTGGCTCACACACCAAAAGTCTGTCTTCATGAAATCTGCTCAACTGACACATCAGAGGTCTCACAAGGAAACTGTAAGTGTCCTGGCTGATCTACAATGAAAGGTATTGGTAGAACCCTTACACTGTGGTAAATAAAACTGTAGACGTGATATACTTGTGTGTTTACATTTCATGTCTTTTCTATAATCAACTTACTTCCATCTTCTGACCCAAGCTGCCAGGTTTCTACAGAGTTGTCTCCCCTTACACACGCCAACACTTTCCTGAAGCATGGAAACTCACTGATGCAGCAAAGAAATCCAAATCCAACTAAAACAGCAGCTGATAAGGGTTAAATTATTTCTTCTTTGGGCCATGACATATTTGTACTTGTACAGATCAGTCTTTCCCAAAATGAAAAACCGAAATAGACTCCGAAATATAGTACATAGTGTTATGGATAAACATGAGTAGATCGAATTTGTGGAATATTGGTTTATCAGTTTGCAGATGACAAATAGATAAAGCCTATTTTAAAAATCATAATAATTAAAATAATTGAGAGTGAAACTAGAGATAATAAATATGTAATTTGTAAAACTACATCAGTCTTCCTGATCATGTGGCACATGCTGTTCAGTCGATGGTGATAACTGGTCCAGTTAAACGACGCGAAAGTCTTATTTATACTGTTTTGATTCCCTCTCATCGCGTTAGAACAGAAATCTAACCAAACTTTTTCAATGGACAGAAATAAGTGCATTTGCTCAGTTTCACCAAAATCTTAGTTATCGGTATAGTCAACTTTATACGTGGAATATTTCAGAAATAACATGGAACAAATGGTGATAACTGGTTGGTGGCCAGTAGACTCCTTTAAAATCCCTTAGTTCAACAGTATTGTTTTTAACAATATTATTAAGCTTATTTCAGGAAAATGCAATAAGTACTCTTACAAAATCAACAAGTTTTTTTCAAAAACTACATCAAGAATTACAAATGTCATTAGCATGATTATTGGAAGATTTTCACACAGTTTCCTTGTTATCGATCTACAGAACATTACTGCAAACATTGTTTATGTGTTTGTTCATTGTTTAACATGGCACTCAACAATATTCCAGTTATATGACAGCCGTCTGTAAATAATCACGTCTGGACCAGACAATACAGTAACTGACATCATGAGCATCGATCCACGCAATTGGGATATGATGACATGCATCAACCAAGTCAGCGAGCCTGACCACCCGATCCCGTTAGTCGCCTCATAGTCACCTTTGATGGCAAGCATGGGTTGCTGAAGACCTATTCTACCCTGGATCTTCACGGTTCGCAAACATTGTTAGTACATGGCTGTCAACTGACATATAGTCAAGTGTCCACTCACCTTGCCTGGCGCAGATGATGTAGAGATATGATAGAGCTGTCTGTGAAGCCACCATTTACCACCTGGAAATCTCGGTCTTTCGTCAAACCCTGATGTGCATGGAGAAATATTTAAAGTTAATATAATTCTTTCACAAATGACCCTCAAAGTAAATTTCATGGAGTTTTACACCATGTGGAGATTCTGGGTGAACAGTCCTCAGTACCTTGTAGTAAGACCTGACTGAAACAGGGCCCTGGTAGTCAGGCTCTGTTACTGTCCAGGGCCCCGTTCCACAAAGCGATTGTAGCACTCAGGCAATCGTAACTCACATTCTTTAACATAGACTTGCGACAGTCGTAGTGCTACAATTGCTTTGTGGAATGAGTGAGTGAGTGAGTTGGGTTATACGCCGCTTTTAACAGTATTCCAGTTATATCACGGCGTGTCAGCTTAATGTGGGAGGAAAGCCCGAAGTGATGCAGGTCTGAGACGTTTACCACTTGGGTGAAACCCACGAGCACGGGTATGGTGCTGACGAACCTAGAAACATAATCGGGGCAAACGGGATTCGAATCCACAATCATAGGTTTCTGGCGTGCCCAAGGGACGCAGCTCTACACGGTGAATCGCAGCGCCTTAGACGACTGGGCCACCCGTGCCCCCTGCTTTGTGGAACGGGGACCTGATGGCTTGTCGTTGTGTCCCGATGGTGTGGACCATTGCTCATGCTCTTTGTCATTGGTTTGCCTGGGCAAGTGTTCATTTACTGCCCATATTGCTTTATTATCAACATTCCTCACTTCAGTCACGGAGCTTCACTTATGTTTGTTTTGTTAATGTGAAAAAAGCTGGGGATAAGATATATGGATGAACAACTTCTTTACTACAATTAGTAGTGATGTTCCGCTGTAGGTTCTTACACTTGCTAGATCCCGAGCAACGATCCACAGCATCAGAGTGACACCTGTTCAGCCAAGGTACTGAGTCTCGCCACTGGATCCCCAGTTTTGTCAGCTCTTAAAACTGGCATGATCTATTGGAGACCTTCTTTGGGATGCTTTGAGAAGTTGGAGTACTAAGTAAGGAATAAGATTTATGGTTGAATAATTTCTTTATAACATTTAGGTGCAACGTTTGATGTAGGTTCTAACACTTGCTTGATAACGTCGCTCCCAATTGTAATAAAGTAGTTGTTCATCCATATATGTCTCTTAAAGAAGTGCCTTAACAAGGCTGAAATACATGTCCATTAGCATGGTCTTATTAAGGAAAGTCATCAGATGCCTTATGTGGTTCTCATGGAACCAGAAACAAATGTATTCTGCAGCTCAGATCATAAAGAAGTTTTGCAAAAAGTTATATTTACTTTAAAACACTGAAGCCTTCAACATACATCTACTGTAAAACACTGTAGCCTTCTACACACATCTACTGTAAAACACTGTAGCCTTCTACACACATCTACTGTAAAACACTGTAGCCTTCTCCATATCTCTACTGTAAAACACTGTAGCCTTCTACATATCTCTACTGTAAAACACTGTAGCCTTCTACATACATCTACTGTAAAACACTGTAGCCTTCTACATACATCTACTGTAAAACACTGTAGCCTTCTACACACATCTACTGTAAAACACTGTAGCCTTCTACATATCTCTACTGTAAAACACTGAAGCCTTCTACACACATCTACTGTAAAACACTGTAGCCTTCTACACACATCTACTGTAAAACACTGTAGCCTTCTACATATCTCTACTGTAAAACACTGTAGCCTTCTACATATCTCTACTGTAAAACACTGAAGCTTTCTACATATCTCTACTGTAAAACACTGTAGCCTTCTACACACATCTACTGTAAAACACTGTAGCCTTCTACACACATCTACTGTAAAACACTGTAGCCTTCTACATACATCTACTGTTAAACACTGTAGCCTTCTACATACATCCACTGTAAAACACTGTAGTCTTCTACACACATCTACTGTAAAACACTGTAGCCTTCTCCATATCTCTACTGTAAAACACTGAAGCCTTCTACACACATTGACTGTAAAACACTGTAGCCTTCTACACACATCTACTGTTAAACACTGTAGCCTTCTACACACATCTACTGTAAAACACTGTAGCCTTCTACACACATCTACTGTAAAACACTGAAGCCTTCTACATACATCTCCTGTAAAACACTGTAGCCTTCTACACACATCCACTGTAAAACACTGTAGCCTTCTACATACATCTACTGTTAAACACTGTAGCCTTCTACATACATCTACTGTAAAACACTGTAGCCTTCTACACACATCTACTGTAAAACACTGTAGCCTTCTACACACATCTACTGTTAAACACTGTAGCCTTCTACATACATCTACTGTTAAACACTGTAGCCTTCTACATACATCTACTGTAAAACACTGAAGCCTTCTACACACATCTACTGTAAAACACTGTAGCTTTCTACATACATCTACTGTAAAACACTGAAGCCTTCTACACACATTGACTGTAAAACACTGTAGCCTTCTACACACATCTACTGTTAAACACTGTAGCCTTCTACACACATCTACTGTAAAACACTGTAGCCTTCTACACACATCTACTGTAAAACACTGTAGCCTTCTACACACATCCACTGTAAAACACTGTAGCCTTCTACACACATCTACTGTAAAACATGGTAGTCTTCTTCAGTTATTTACTGTAAAACCCTGTAGCCTTCTACACACATCTACTGTAAACCACTGTAGCCTTCAACATACATCTACTGTAAAACACTGTAGCCTTCTACACACATCTACTGTAAAACATGGTAGTCTTCTTCAGTTATTTACTGTAAAACCCTGTAGCTTTCTACACACATCTACTGTAAAACACTGTAGCCTTCTACATATCTCTACTGTAAAACACTGTAGCCTTCTTCACACATCTACTGTAAAACATGGGAGTCTTCTTCAGTTATTTACTGTAAAACCCTGTAGCCTTCTACATACATCTACTGTAAAACATGGTAGTCTTTTTCAGTTATTTACTGTAAAACACTGAAGCCTTCTACACACATCTACTGTAAAACACTGTAGCCTTCTACACACATCTACTGTAAAACACTGTAGCCTTCTACACACATCTACTGTAAAACGCTGAAGCCTTCTTCACACATCTACTGTAAACAACTGTAGCCCTCTACATATATCTACTCCAAACTAGTGTAGCCTTCTACACACATCTACTGTAAAACACTGTAGCCTTCTCCATATCTCTACTGTAAAACACTGTAGCCTTCTACACACATCTACTGTAAAACACTGTAGCCTTCTACATATCTCTACTGTAAAACACTGTAGCCTTCTACACACATCTACTGAAAAACACTGTAGCCTTCTACATATCTCTACTGTAAAACACTGTAGCCTTCTACACACATCTACTGTAAAACACTGAAGCCTTCTACACACATCTACTGTAAAACACTGTAGCCTTCTACATACATCTACTGTAAAACACTGTAGCCTTCTACATACATCTACTGTAAAACAATGTAGCCTTCTACACACATCTACTGTAAAACACTGTAGCCTTCTACATACATCTACTGTAAAACACTGAAGCCTTCTACATACATCTACTGTAAAACACTGTAGCCTTCTACACACATCTACTGTAAACCACTGTAGCCGTGTAGTCTCTGTAAAACACTAGACACATAATGAGACATCTATCCATGGTCACACACTGTACAATGTTGTAATCCTGCTGTCTACCTGCACACACACCTGGGCAGGGGGAGACAACTCAAGGCTAATGACAATGTCCGACTATACCCACAGAACTGTCTACCTGCACACACACCTGGGCAGGGGGAGACAACTCAAGGCTAATGACAATGTCCGACTATACCCACAGAACTGTCTTCGGGCACACACCCTGGGCAGGGGGAGACAACTCCAGACTAATGACAATGTCCGACTATACCCACGGAACTGTCTTCCGGCACACACCCTGGGCAGGGGGAGACAACTCCAGACTAATAACAACGTCCGACCATACTCACAGAACTGTCTTCCTGCACACACACCTGGGCAGGGGGAGACAACTCCAGACTAATGACAATGTCTGACCATACTCACAGAACTGTCTTCCTGCACACACACCTGGGCAGGGGGAGACAACTCCAGACTAATGACAATGTCCGACTATACTCACAGAACTGTCTTCCTGCACACACACCTGGGCAGGGAGAGACAACTCCAAGAGTTCATGTTTCCTTTCGTCTGATGTGGCAACAACCAAACCTGCACACACAATACAAATACAGCTGTAACAGTGGACAGAGTGAATGCTGTTCCACAACTTTCTATGTTATAAGTATGGGCCAGGAAACAATCAACAGTGTTGGAGCAAGATGACACACAATCAGCCATGTCACATATTGTAATAAAAATGATACACAATCACCCAGATCACACATTGTAATCACTATGACACACAATCAGTCACACACAAGCAGCCACGTCTCACATTGCATCATGACACACAATCAGTTGGTTGTTGGTTTGTTGTTTCATGCTGCACTCAGCAATATTCCCCCAGTGATTGACATCATGAGCATCAATCCATGCCATTGGCATATGATGCATGGGTTGCGGAAGTCCTATTCTACCCCGGATCTTTACAGGTCAACACACAATCAGCCAGGTCACACATTGTAATCACAATGACACACAATCAGCCAGGTCACGCATTGTATCATGACACACAATCAGCCAGGTCACACATTGTATCATAACACACAATCAGCCAGGTCACACTTTGTAATCACAATGACACACAATCAGCCAGGTCACATATTGTATCATGACACACAATCAGCCAGGTCACACATTGTATCATGACACACAATCAGCCAGGTCACACTTTGTAATCACAATGACACACAATCAGCCAGGTCACGCATTGTATCATAACACACAATCAGCCATGTCACACATTGTATCATGACACACAATCAGCCAGGTCACACTTTGTAATCACAATGACACACAATCAGCCAGGTCACGCATTGTATCATGACACACAATCAGCCATGTCACACATTGTATCATGACACACAATCAGCCAGGTCACACTTTGTAATCACAATGACACACAATCAGCCAGGTCACGCATTGTATCATGACACACAATCAGCCATGTCACACATTGTATCATGACACACAATCAGCCAGGCCACACATTGTATCATAACACACAATCAGCCAGGTCACGCATTGTATCATGACACACAATCAGCCAGGTCACACTTTGTATCATAACACACAATCAGCCAGGTCACGCATTGTATCATGACACACAATCAGCCAGGTCACACATTGTATCATAACACACAATCAGCCAGGTCACACTTTGTAATCACAATGACACACAATCAGCCAGGTCACACATTGTATCATGACACACAATCAGCCAGGTCACACATTGTATCATGACACACAATCAGCCAGTTCTTTGACAAAGACCCACACAAGTCATAATTCATGGATGACCTAAGTTGATATGCTAATGCCCTAGTTCTGTTGACCAATCACTGAAGACTTACAGTCAGATGATAGCCAATCAGCAGCCTGGACTGGTTTCTGCAGGTCATACATGTACAGGCTCTTGTACCTGGAATAACATGATACAAACCATCGAGATGACAATTGTGCAACAGCAAGCATGTCCATTTGCTGGAACTTGCCATTCTGCATAATTTACAAAATAAGGGTTTGGTTGTTTTACATTTAAGTAACCTACAAGTGCTGAGGTAGACTAACATCTAGTCTCTAAAATGAACATATTTTACTGATAAAAACAGTGGTTAAGTTATACTTATGAAATATAAAGCAAAAGAACCCAGAGACTCTCTCCCCTGAAACTGCAGTAATCTACACTTGCCAAATATTATAGACTTGCATGGGCTGTATTGGATATATCTGTTTCAAGGTCTGTATGACAGACTGCAGCTGAGGAAATTCCCTCTATTCTTCTCTCCTCCACTCCACTCCCCCTAAAAAGAACCTTAACATTATTGGAACAAGATCAAGCTCTGTATTCAAAGTTGGGATGTCACAATACAGGTGTCACACGATGCGATACAAATCTCGATACAGAAGCCACAATACGATACATATCTCGATACTGCATATCCAACATTTTCTGCAGGAAAACCCATTCATTAGACCACAGGAGTCCGTATCTAAAAACAGATGCCCTCATGCATATTCATGACCATTTCCACACGCGAGCTTCAAGTTCATCATCAAGTCGTCGGTGATCAGTTGTGAGATCGGATCCCGTTAGATCTACACGTGGGGTACATATTGTTGGGATTAGTTCCCTTGTCTCTTCATTCAGTCCGTATCATTCCGGAAGTAGGGCAAGTATGAAAGACGGACCCAGCTTCGTGTCCGATGCTTGTGTAGATTTTTATTAAATTTTGATGTATAGGTGGGTGTTTTTATCGTACCAAATTGGCAAAAATGCCGTTTACAAGTTAGAAAAGCAATCGGTTACTGTAGTGTCAGTGTGGGTATATTTTTCCCGTTCGTAATAATTTGTTGAAATATCGAGTCGGGCCCTGCAGTAGTTTTCTGTTGCATTCCTTCTCGCCCTTCAGGCTTGCGTGTGGAGATGGTCATGAATATGCATGAGGGCGTCTATTTTTAGATACGAACTCCTGTGATTAGACTGGGAATAGAGTCAATAGACTCACTCATAAAGGTAAAGAAGGACAACCGACTTATACACATCTACAGGACACTCAGCCAAGTAAACTATTCTGAATGAGAAAATAATAAGAGACAAATTTTACGTAGTGTATTATGATAGGCAGCAAGAAAAAGCTGGTCAGTCTTGTTTCGTATCCGAAAGACGACCAAAGAAGGTTATGAGGAATTAAAAGATTTGTTTGTACTTGCTTATAAGTACTGATGCAAGGACAACATAGACAATCCACATGGGGTTCGATGCCAAATTACCGTATTCGACGTAATAAGCGCCCAGGGCGCACTCAAAAATAGAAAAATAGGGCTCTTTTTAGAATATTATTTTGGTGAAAAAAAAGAGTTGAAAGATAAATTTCCTGGTTTATGCTGACAGCCTGAAATGTTTATATATGACAGATATATTTTTCCAGAATTTAATTGCCCATAATTAAGGGGGCATATAACACATGAGGGCGTATTATACCCAAATAAATAAGTCTTGTGTACTTCGATCGGAAGGGGTGCTAATTGGGATTGTTCACGAGCCACAATATTAGCAATTATCGCAGTGGGCGCTTATTACATTGAATACGGTAAGCGTATCGAGTATGTGAGTGTGAGTTGGGTTTAACGCCGCTTTTAACAGTATTCCAGTTATATCATGGCGTGCCAGCTTAATGTGGGGGGAAAGCAGGTCTCAGACGTTTACCACTTCAGTGAAACCCATGAGCATGGTTATGGTGCTAACAAACCCAGAAACATAACCGTGGCGAACCGGGATTCGAACCCACAATCATAGGGACCCAAGGGACCCAACTCTGCACAGTGAATCGCGGGGTCTTGGACGACTGGGACACCCGTGCCCCCGTATCGGGCATTGTACAGTTTGCCGATGAAGTACTGATGCAGAGTCAACTCTGCATTTACTGTTGACAAATATAGACTCAGAAGCATGATGGATCTGGGAGTCAAATCACTGATCATAGGATTCTTCTAAGTCTCGGGGAGGCAACTGGGCACAGTGAATGGCGGCACAATAGACGGGGCCACCATGTTCCCCAATGTAATGGTGAAACAATAGGGGGCTCAGCAACATTTATGATTCCTTACTTTCTTATAGAGTCAAACAGCCAGTCCTCTTCCATTTCCATGGCTCAACTGTTGCAAGACGAGTGTTCCCGCTCTGCCCTCTATGACTGAAGCAAGCTTCTGTGTGATCTGGATCAAACAGACATTATCGGAAACGAGCACCATGTATTTCAGCATTCTAACAAAAGAATCAGATCCATGGCATATTGTTCCTACCTATGGTCAACATAACTGGTATATCCACAAAATGTTGAAGGCAGCATAAAGTAAATTATATTTTTCTCAAACTTGAGGAGAAGGGTAGACTTTTTATATATGTTTTTTTATTAAAATTGATGATGGAGCAACATTTTTTTTCAAACAAAAATATCAACAAACAAGACTGAGCACAAACTGAACTCGGCTCATTAATGCAATGTCAGATGTCAAGCATGAATAACATATTCTGCTTCATACGACGTGCGAAATATGAACAATGCAGATTCTAAAAGTGACATCCGATGCCAGAGAAACATTTCCTAATGTTAGGATATCCTTGTATAAATGAAAATGGGGGTTAGAATTTACCACAACACAAAGTATTGAAAAAATCCGTGGTGAGCAATGAATAGAGTCAGGTAGTGAGTGGGTTTGGTTTAAAACTGCTTTAATAGTGTTTCAGTAATATCGCTAGAGTCAATTTAATGAGGTAAGGCATGACGTGAAGTAGGTCTTGGACGTTCACCACTCTGGCGAGACACACAAGCATAGACTGTGCTGAAACTTAATGAGGGCCAATGTACCCAAGGGCAAAGACATGGAGGAGAGGTGAGATGGGGTTTAATGCTGCATCCAAGATTATTGCACTAACATAAGGACATGAATGCATGTGTGTTTGTGTGTGGCTGCTTGGACTACTTCAGACTAATGCCGATTTTATAGTGCTAGCCCACTGAGATAGCATGCAGCAGTTTAACATGTATACCCCACTCAGACACAGTATACTGACTCCGAGCCGACCAGTCCTAGTTTTAGACTCTTAATGCCGAGCGCCAGGCAGGGTAACAGCAAGTACCATCTATTAACGTCTTTGGGCATAACGCAGCCAGGGATGGAACCCTGTTCCTTCAGCTCTCCAGTACATGGGTCATCAACTGGGCTACACACACTAGTGTCATAATCTGTTAATTATCAACACCTTGTCATTAGTTGCAGCAAAGAAGCAGTGTTTTCTATCATTCTTGTAATGGAAAGGCTTTTCATGAAGCCACTGAGTTAACAAAATGTACCCACCCACCCTGTTTTCGACATGAAAGATACAGAAAAATAAACTCTAATTTTAGATAAAAAATGTTTTCACTCTTGACTGTTCATTAATTGATGACCAATTGCTTCTCCAAATCAAAGATAAATTATTTCAAACCAATTCCCAAACACAATATGAGCACATCAGTGTGACTGCAAATCAAGGATACAAATTGTTGTCCAGGGTTTGAACTTCCTTGTATTCGTGTGACTTTCTTATCATGTGAAGCCAGTGAGAACAGTACTTAGCACAAGTAAACTTGACAAACATATAGGATATGATGAACGAATGAACAGAATTTCAATTATTTAAGCTGTTTTTCACTTACAATTATTCTTCCTGTTGGCACGTACACTAAGCTTCCAAAGGGCACGCCTAAACATCTGTCATCAATAAACTGTGGCACACTTGAAAACAATTGTTCCACGAACAGATCAATCATGATAATTAATTATAGCTTATAGTTGATCTGCAGTCATCATCACAACTCTACATCATGCTCTCAAGTATTAACTATCGCTTTGCCAGCCCCAGAATCTATTCTTTATCATTCGCAGAGATAAACCTTGAAAGATTCTGGTTGTAGTGTACAGCATTCTCCCACTCACTGTAACCGAGATAAACTCTTCCTTGATCACTGTGGATTATTATGCTATTCTAACATGACAAATTATCCTTTTGGATATAGTAATCAAGAATAGTGTTAGATAGACATGATATCACATATGGAGTGACGCTGAATCATAGGGAGTCATGCTGCACTATAGTTGCAGGGAACAGACACCACATGGTCTCTGTGGGGTACCAGTGTTTGAAATATAGTAAAATACCAAGCTGCCATCAGGACTAAAAGGACAGTTTCCACCCTTACCGAACTATGCTGGAATTTCCAGGCTCCATCGTAGCGCCACCAGTGGCTATTATGAGTTATGTCCCTTCTATGTCCCTCCTATTGACCAATCTGCTTCCATCACTCATAACCAAGTGCATTTGCTTCAAACAAAATGGATCAATAATCAAGATCTATATTTTAATAAAATGGGTCTGACTCAGCAAAGTGCATCAAATCACTTGAGCACCTTGATTAAAAATAGGAAAAAATTTGCAAAATATCTGTCATCGCCCAGTTAACAGCGTTAGAAATTGGCAATAGTCCTATAGTCCTTGCCAAACTGCCCAATAGTTAAGGTATCATAAGGACTAGTACAAATTTGCCATTTTTAAGGGTTTTGCTATATGCTATCATTATAAGGACTAGTGGACTAAAACAGTTAGTTTCTATCACTGGTTAGCTGTAAACATGCTTTGCAAATCCTGCAGTCGACCGAAATATGCACGTTGAAATGCATGTTGTTTACGTACCTAATGTCTAGTTAGTTTGTTTTGAGTATGCATAGACTCGTCAGTACAGCCAAAATGCCAACTCCGGAATTCCAGCCTAGTTCGCAAGGGTGGAAACTGGGCTTTAAAGTCAGTTAACTCCCTTGCTCCCGGAAGATGGACAGAACATGGTCACCACTGCATATGGTATGAAATCTTTTCATCATATCCAAAGGATTCTCCACCACTGTCCATGCTATATTTATAGTGGATTAAAGGTAATTTAATTTTATACCAACTATTTCTTTTGGACAATCTGCCAATATTCATGACAAGGCCTAATATAGATCCATCTTGGCCTATTGACCCATTGGTAATATTGTTCCCATTGTTTCGATTGCATTGCGAATATATTCTAATGTCCCTCCGGAATGTCACATTGACCTACAAGACAATAACTTTAACAAAACATGTCCGTCTGGAAAATCGATCTTATGCCAAAGCGTTTTGATTACTGACGGTACTGTCCTCTGATCACCGTCAGTTGCATCTAGGCCGAGATGAGACTCAGATGCTGATGATGCTAATTATGTTGGAATAAGGTCCCTCAACGCGATACAATCTCTAATTAACAAGAAGCAAACCGTGGTGTAATTACCAGCGTACATTTATTGATTGTGTCAACTAATGAGATGTCATCATACCGCCTGTTCCTGAAGGTGTAAACAACACGTGTTGCGCATGCCGGTGATTCCGGAAGCGGAAGTTAATGCCCGCGTTGTGCCTACCGATTTTGCGTTCGGCGTGCTACCCGAGCAGACGAGACTTGTTTATACTAGTGATTTGACAGTGAGTGTAATTAATTTCCTTGTAACACTTCGTATTGTGGTTGGTTATGAAGCACTGGCCTTTTGTGCTACAGGCATATGTTGTATGTTGATCGGCATTTATTTGAAGGTCGACGTTTGTCTGTGGCTAATATCAGTCTCCAATAGGCCTAGGCTTTCATTGCGCTGCTGTTGTTATAGTGTTACCGTAAATAAGAATGATCTAATGATGTATCATGTATACTATCAGACTTCATTTCCAGAGAGAAGATACATGAAGCATCATTCGCCATTTCACAATAAGCGGTCCACTGAACAGTAAATAATTACCGAAAACCCCCATCTACATACTATTACTAGGCTAATTCTAATATCCAGTGAGACGTAGAACGTAACCTCGTAAACAGCTTGTGAACTGGAAGGTCTAGTAGTTGTGCCGGTGTACATGGTGTAGGTGTAAAGTGCACAATCAAGCTGTATGTGTTAGTACAGGCGAACGAGTAAGCACTTGTGTTGGTTGTGGATGAGGCATTAATAAAGATGCCTTGGAATGTGTGGGCGACGATCACGGATGCTAGATCAGTCGTCAGGTTGCCTGAGGCCATGGGTTACCAGAGGATACCTTATCCTTTGGGAAGTGGGCTTATTTTGTGTGTGATAGGGTTGTGCTATTGGCATATTATTCAATATGATACATGTACCCAGGTTTGTATCTTAAATTGTTTATTTCCATTAATTACTTAAGCAATTGAATTCTGGGGACCTGTTCTAACTCATGTCCCTAGCAGAAACATGAAAAGAATCTGGGTGCATGTAGATGTATCAGAGCAGACAATCCAGTGATTAATATCATGAGCATTGATCTATGCATTTGGGATCGATGACATGTATCAACCAAGTCAGCGAGCCTGACAACCCCATCCCATTAGTCGCCTTTTACGACAAGCACAGTCGTCTTTTATGGCAAGCAAGCGTTGCTAAAGACCTATTCCACCCAGGAAGGTCCAAGGGTATATGTAAACATATCATTATCAGGGGCTGTTGGGTAGCCAAATGGTTAAAGCATCCGCTCGTCCAATCTCATCAAAATCAGATCTTAGTTCTCGCTGTTGCTAAACAAAGATCTGAGGACATCCCAATACGGGTCACGTCAGAATGACCTTTCATCCAACCAATCAGAGCTTCACTTACCAGATCATGAATGTGTTTTCTAATCATGCAACCACGAAATATCTAACACGGGATTTGCCGAACGACAGTTTAGTTTTTATAATTATGTCCATACAATCTAGGCTATCTATAAGCCTTTCCAGAATGTTCTTCATATCAGTTTTAATTTTTTTAATCGAGAATGCGTCAAAATATGTTTTGAAGCGTAGTCGCCAGTTTGAAACTAGTTTCGTAAAGCTCGAGAAACATGAGAAAGCTGCATTCTGATTGGCTAATGTTGATTTCTTGTCAGTCATTTCATTGATCGGTCAAATTGCGCGAAAGGTCGTTCTGACGTGACCCGTAATGGGATGTCCTCAGAGCTTTGTTTAGCGGTAGCGAGAACTTAGATCTTATTTTAATGAGATTGTCACTCGTCATGCCAAACACCTGGGTAAGATTCCCCACATGGATGCAATGTGTGAAGCCCATTTCTGGTGTCCCCTGCCGTGATATTGCTGGAATATTTCCAAAGCAGCGTAGATCCATACTCACTAAAAACATTTCTTGTGGATGTTAAACATGCTAGCAGTCTGTTCCAAACACTTTTGATACTGCCTGCCTGAAAATGGCTGATGTTGACTTTTAATATATGAGCTATCTAGAACAAACAGATTTTAAAAACTCCCAAAACACCCCCATGATTATCGAAACATTTGTTCTGTTTGTTGTTTAATCATGTTAATGCTGCACTCAGCAATATTCCAGCTATATAACACTGGTCTGTAAATAATATGGTCTGGGACAGACCACCCAGTGATGGACATCATGAGCATCGATCTACGCAACTGGGACATGATGACATACATCAACCAAGTCTTTGAGTCTGACCTTCCGACCTCATTAGTGACGGTTAGTCGCCTCTACATCAAGCATGGGTCTGAAGACCAGCCAGATCTTCACGGGTAGATGTTACAAGGCAGTAAAATTTCCCATTTATCACTGTAAGGATTTGGATGCATTGGTGCATGAAATAAATCAGCCAGCCAGAACCATTTTTTCCCTATAGGTGAATATGACATGCCCAGAGGTCCTAATATCAGGTTTATCTCGATGTACTCTGGATGCTCTGAATTGTTCATGATTTCACCTGTTGACAAGTTGTAAGATTATTACATGTCCTTTTCTGATGTTGGTTCCTATACTTTATTCATTCATTTTGGACAACTTCTAGTGGGCATGATGCAGTTGCAGAACTTTAAATTAATTAGTACACCCGATCAGTGTTTAGATATGAATCTTAAACCAAATATGTTTTTCAATTTTGTATGTATTCTTTTATGCATGTTCAGCTTAATACTGATTATTGTATATTTGTTTGCTGTCAATTTAGAAATAAATATGTATTAAGTGCAGTAAACATCATAATAAGCAATGCATTTTGGATCACCAATGTAGTTTGAAGTTTTTAACCATGTGAACAATGTGGTTTGATTTTCAATGTTTTTAAACCATTTTAACCTATGTTGCCATGTTCATGATGTTATTTCTTGAAAAGTTTCAGTTTTTATAAGTAGCCATGGTTACTGGAAACACTGCTCTAGTTACAAACAAAACACCTGCATTGTTTGTTACAGGTGGCGAAATTACATTAGCTGTATTAGGGCTGGCTATCGATATAGATCATAGAGATTGATAAACGGTAACTAAATACCGATCAATTATTGATAAATATCGGTGAAGGAACTTTTAAGAAAATATCCAAGAAAGTCCTGAAATGAACAGATTTCACACCAATGTCGAGCAGTGACACATGTGCATAGATTACTTTGTGGACATTTGAGATATAACAAAAACTGTTGCTTTCCATCATTGACATTATTGACAATGACAAATCTGTTTTGGTAAATGTAAACTTTATCTCATTACTATAGTTTATGTGAGTTATTATCGATGACAACAGTTTCATATCGATAATGATTAATATTTCTTCCCATGAACAATAATTAAGAGATGTAACCATAATGTGTTTTCAAAGTAGTGCTTGGTTACCTGTAGACTTAACCACACTAAATTGAATTTGTAACCGGACCCACAGCGTGAGGTTTCAAATATTGTCCCCAAAACTTTGCAAACATTCTCTTTGCAGATTAATATCATGTTTTCTGCATGAAATGTATTGCCACACATCCTTTGAATATTGTAGTAACTGACACTTTCCATTTTGTAACTTACACTGGTAGATATAGTTATTTAAATATGCCTACCGACAAGACTGAAAAAAGTACTATTTATATGAATATTAGCTTCCATGTTGATGCGGTCTTCAAACCAGCTGTTTCAATCAGAGGGGGTTTATTGTGATTTAATAGCCTCTGATTGACCAATCAGAATCAAGTAATTTCCAAATTCATAGTAGAAGTCTGATTATCTTTCTTTTTAGCCAACTCTAAACTGTATTGTTATTATAACCTTCTATAACTCCAATGTTATAATTGATAAAGTGTTCACGAGTTCCACCTGCAATAGCTCTTTCAAAACACTGAACAACCTTGAATCTTCAACCAATTCCCAATGCTACGGATAATTATGCTGATCTGATAACACTGTGTATAACATAAGACATGCCAGTGGATCGTGTTGATTATTAATTATGATAAAATTTGTCACAAGTTACTTCATCACTAATCACAGAATTGCACTTTGAACATCTATGACAGTGAAGAATATCACCCCATGCACCCCAACACTTGAAGTTCAAAGTCCACACCTATGTACTTATGAACCCACCCACCAAGGAATTTTATCACGATTAGTCCATGAAGGCTGGGTATAGTAATAGTCCTGTATGCGGAGTAAGTCTGATCACACAGTGGCACAGTTCTAGCTGGTAAGTGAGGCAGTTTCAGCCAAGCTTAAGCACTATTCAACAACCTGAGTCATTTTGTTACATGTCTATTACAGTTTGTGTAATGGTGCAACATGGTCATATTGTTCATGTTGTTAGTGTGAGTAGTGTAGATTGTTGTGGATAGGTTTTGTTGATGGTGAGATAGATCTTGTTGATGGTGAGGCAGACAATACAACCGTTAACTTGTTTAAACTCTTCAGTATGAAACATTCTTTGCCATGCTTACTGCCATCATTTGACACATGCTTTTCAGTAGGTTAGATGTGATATTACTGAAGTAATAGCTTTGTACATAATGTAACTAAAATAAAAATGATCATATTTGTTGTAATTGGTGTATGTGTGCTGCAATATCGATGTTACATTCCATGTCGTGTGTGTAAGGCACTAGTACTAACTTGATAGAATATACATGATATAAACATGATAAAGTTAAAACCATTTTGTGTGTTACTAATTTTTACCATGTTAACTCAACATGCTAAATAATTAACAGACTTTAGTTTGATTATCTAGATTATGAATAAAGGATAATAAAGGTTTTGATATGTGAGTCAAATCCTTTTCCTTGGTGTGAAATATACAGTTGTTGCTACGGATTAACCCCCAGAGTCAGTTAGTGTTACATATCTTTTCTTGCTGATACAGTCCTCATACATCATATATAAGCTGATCAACATCGCATATTGTACTTGACCTTAAACATGTTAATGAGACCACTTGGTAATCAGGATAAAACACATGGTCTATATTTTTGCATTGGTGTTAGCATTGTGAGCATTGAATACATACATACCAAATAGACAAGATCATTAGAAATTGACAATAGTTCCAAATTTCAAAAGTGTAATAATCATATTATTGACAATAAATATAATTTACTGTTCACATGAATGTAATACTTAACTTATGTGATTCATGTTTCACATCGGTTATTTATGTTGGACATTGTCTGATTGTCA